TTTTCTTGGCATATTATGTTTCTTTTGTATTCGAACTTCCGGTTACATCGGAAATATAATATATCTTCATATGGCAAGTTATTTATTTCATGTAGACGGCTTTGTATACAGGGTGTTTCAAAAAGATTGGTAATAAATTATACCACATATTCTTGGGTCAAAAATAGGTCGATTAAACCGTACTTACCTATATATTGTATATAGGTAAGTACGTGGTATAATTTATGACCAATCTTTTTGAAACACTCTGTAGATTTAGTTACTCCGAAAGCTTAATTTTCTATTCCACTGAAAATGTAGCATTTGTAACAGTTTTTGATTTTTTAAAGAAATAATAATTGTTAAATTTCTTAACAGTCACTATATTTAAAATAATAATTTAACTTGAAAAACGGACAAAAATACCTATACAAATTTTATTAATTCAATATGACTGTTCAAAGTGCTGATCTTTTACTGAAACACTGCATATATAAGTCTTTTTTTTTTAACTAATACATATAGGTAACTATACTACATTTCTAGAAAGGGAATAATAGAAGAGTTTGTCTGAAGTATCTAGAAATATATAGTTCTTTCCATTTAAAATGAAAATTTTCCCTTTATCTTATACTTATTTCCGGTGTAACTGGAAGGTGTAGTACATTAACTTCTAATACCTTTCTACTATTTGAGATACACATTTAAAATGGGTTCAAATTTCAAATATACCTACTTGGCCACTCCGTATAATTTTTTTATTTGCCTTACTATATTTTTTTAAAACTAATTAAGCCATTTTTATTCACGATCGCACCCATCATATCCCTACTTATTTGTTATTAAATATTGTAGCAATTTGTATAAATAATTTCATTTGAGAACATTTTTATGTACCTTCTTTGGAACAACATATCTACTTAATAGAAAAGTTGAAAAAAGTTTTATATCACGTTTTTTTAGTTAAAAAATGTTTGTGTAAACCGTTCGCGCTCCCCTGAGTTTATGATTAAAGTTTTTTTAGAAACCTATATTTCCTAGCATGTATAAAAAAATTAATTTGCTGCTGCTCTAATATGCAGCATTACAATATGATTTTAATGTAACTTATTTCTTTAATAACTAGATTATTTGCAACCAAACTAAATAATTATTTCAAATTATATCTAGATTAATAAATACCTTTAAGTGAAAACGAGGGTGTTTGTTATTCTATTTTTTGTTTTTTTAATTTCAACGAGTCGTTAATTTGTATGGCCTTTTTTGAAGTAACTATACTTTCTTAAATATTGTGAAAAAAGTACATAAATTTCGCAGAAGGCTCGAGTGATCTCCCACAAAACCCCAATTTCGCAGAACTTAGTTTAAGAAATGCTGCTCTCATGCACAGTTAATAATACATAAATCAAAACACTTTTTAATAATTCGACTACCATATTAGGTATTTAATTTTCTTTGACTGCATATCTTAGGTACTTACTTTAAATATCTTCAAATTTATTTCACACTGTATAATGCGCTTAGCGTCCTTTATTAACAGTAAAATAATTCAGTATTAAAAAATAAACACAACTAATTCACAATATCTACTACCCGTAAACTCACTAACGCACAATAACAACCAATAACAACCATTAACAATGAATCAATAAAATTTCATCTAAGAGCTAGAAATAGAAACCCATCAGTCTCCGCCAACCCCAAAAATTTCAGCTCGAGCCTCAAGCTCCGCCCACTGCAAAGGAATATCGACTTATCCATATTCACTAGCGCCATCTATTAGCAGTATCCATTTCGCTCCAATGAAACTTCCATAAGGTGAGACTACTATTTAGTTCTTTATACAATGATCAGACTATGAATTGAGCGCCATCTGATGGTTTGGGGACGCATAATGTAGCTAGACGTCTTACATTGTAAAAGACCATAAATATTAGAAAACGATCATTGGCTGCAAGCCTTATTTAAATACGCACGTTTCGTGTAGAAGCAGAATTAACCAAAGTCCTCAGTCAAGAAAACAAACATTGAGGTTACGTCATTTTCATTTGTTTACAAAAGGGCCGATTCCACTGTTGTGTTAAACTAAGCTTAAATTACTGAACGAAGATTAAAATGACTAAAGTAATGTAAAAATGTAATTTTAATCCTCGTTTGTAATTTAAACTTTGTTAACACAACGGTGGAATCGGCCCTAAATAATTAAAGCCAAATTTTCTAATTTATTTAATTATAATACCATTTTTGTTATCTTGTTTATTTTAATAGTATTTGTAATTCAAAGTTACAATTATAATGAATGCTAAGTGTGGAATTTTATTTACATATCTACTTGAAAAGTTAAGGCAGATTTAAAAACAAATAATAAATGTCTTAAATATTAACAAAGCACGAATACAAGTTCTAACACTAGCAAAAACCCAAAAAAACACACATAAAAAACCAAGAAGCACACGAAAAACAGATTAAAAACTAATAAAATAAATGTACTTTTCACTTTTCCAATAATATAATTCGCAAAAAATAAAATCTAGTCACCCAGTCACCCACAAATGACAAACGATAAATAACAAATTTTATTATGTCAAAACAACTGACGTTACAGGAAAAACGAAGAATTATAGTAACGCCCTCTGTGAGATTGGCGCATAGTACTAACAGTGGAATGTGAATGAAATGTGTATATCCAAGTGCGCATACCCTGGGATAATCTAATCACGTCAGCAAATCTGACAATGTTTGGTTATGTGTCTTATTCTTCTTCTTCTTTTTTTTTTATTAGTGGCCTTCACCGTTTAGAGTATTTGACCAAGGTATCATGAATAAAAAAATATTCCTCACAATCTAACTTCCCGTGTAACAAAAACTTACGTTCGACGATAGGCTAGATTATGAGTGCATCCAATAAGACACTATTAGGTAATTTTTACTACCAACTACCAATACTTACTAGGCGCATACTTTTGACTTTTAGAATCATTCTTTTGTCCTTTTCTTGTCTACATTATAGGAAAACTATACATACTTATTTTATCTATGAAGATAAAGATAATTTGATCTCGGAGGTTTGATTTTTTTTATTAATTGAAAATAAGTTTGCATGATTTAAAGTTATATTCCGGAGTTCTAAGTTCACGTTTTTGTTTAAGTCTTTATAAACTAAACAAAGGATGATTCTGTAGACTATATCTTCATTTGTACCAATAAATAATAAAACAAAATAGTTAAATATAATATAATATTATACAGAGATATCTATACAATATGAAAAATGAATATGCAGAGCATATCAAAAATACATATGCCTGGAATATCTTTCTAGAATATAGAATATGAAATATATTCTGTGAATATTCCATAAATATTGCAATATATTTTGGCAAATAGGCAGATTGGTGGCATATGCCAGGAATATAGTGTGCTGTCTGGGATCGAGCCCTCAGTTCCGCTATGAGGTGTAGAAGAGCCAATAACAACGCGCGAACGCCAAATTATAGGCGGGGCATAAAAGCGCGATCGTTTTGAAAGTAACGCCGTGAAATAGCAGTACCTACATCGGATGTACACGAATTATTTGTACATCGGATGTATCCCCATTATTTGGACATCATAATTCTAACATAACTTTATTTCAGAAGATGGAGTTGAAGACTTAAGTATTTTTCTGTAGTATTTTATAAACCTTAGAAGCAAATTTCACATACATGAACACATAATAATAATGCCGTGACAACAAGAAGACGAAGCAACGACTTCTCGTAGGGTGGCGTCTTCGCCGCCACCAGAAAATTTTAATTCATAGCTGGCTACGCCAACCGGCATAAACACCAACGGCCTGGACACAGCTCACCTACTCTGTCAAAAGGAGACCGATGTACAAATAAAGCGCGTACATCCGATGTACTGCTAGTCACTGTCATAAAATAGAAGAATAATATTTCAAAACAAAATACATATATATCTAAAGTTGAGGTTAGAAAAAACTTGTTTCCTTCATCACTATTTTTCGCAGCATTAAGCTTCGCCCCTTAAAGCTGTCACTTCTGTGCATTCCTATTGGTTAAATTGGCACTCGTAACGGAACTGTGTGCTGGATGTACTTTTGCTTCAAGTGGTGTCTTACGTCGAGTTGATTCTCTGTATATACTCTGTGTTGTTAACACATGGAGGAAGGATAATTATGTTAACATCTATAAAATAATTTTGTACGCCAATGTATCGCGTCCGCCGCAAAACTGTCAATTTATGTGAATGAAGTGGGAGAACTGCGAAAACCTTTTCAACTTCTGCCCATGCTATATTTTTGTACAACTTTTATTATTAAACAATATAGTTTTATTCGATCAATATAAATTTGAAACAATTTATGCATTTAAAGCCTCTCATTTCAAAAATAAGAATGTAAAAAAAATATTGGCTCTAGGTACCTACCTACTTGATGAGACAGTCGCCTAAAAAATGTGTGTCATGACCGGAATCTTTTTTGGTCAGTTTTTTAAAAAATCACTACTGTCTAAATTGCAAACCCCTCCCTTACGCCGGCTCTGAATAAACTTTCAGAAATGTACCTACCTATTCACTTTCTACTAAACTAAATAGTCCGTTACATTATTTTATACCTTACCTACTATTTTTGACCAACCTGGCAGAATTTTCTCCGAAAACATAATTTTTTTAACCCCGTCAGTGCCTCTAACGTCTCCAATCCCCAATTTCGAACAAGAACAAATTCGAAATAATCGAAATCCAAAAATCTATACAGGTTTTCTCGTAATCGGATGATTTTGTACCGCCTATACTGCGCAAGTGCTCTCCATGACTGAATCCGATTCCAAACGTCCAGCGAGAGTAATCAAAATCACCAAAATGGAGCGACGACATTAAATCATCGGTCTATTGTAACTGTGATATAGTGAAGAACGCATGTGTGTGAACCTTAAAACGTTGGATGTAGATTTCTGAATACAAATAGGAAGGTTATCATTAAATAAAAGTACATTTTTAACAGTTAAATCGAGATAGTTTACATCAACGGCATGCTGCGATAAGAGAAGGTAAGATAGGCATTTTATTTATCTCGATATGAAACATTTTTTTATCTTGTAAGTGTGCTACATACCTACCGACTTGATTAATTCGAATTAAATGCGGTAAAATTATGTTAAAATATACAGTTATTTGGAGCAATATTCGTCAACTGTCAATTAGGTCATGTCATGTATGAGAAATTTTAAAATGTAAGAATAATTTCGATTTATTATGTAAACATTCGGTTTATAGGTTATCTCTGGAGAGTGCAGTTTCCAGGTTCAATTTATATAATTATATAGTTAGTTTTGATAATAAATTTCCTGTTTTAAAATATTTCTTCGTCTGACGTTTAAAAGCGCGGTTAATTTTTGTTGAAAATATTTAAAACGAGCTGTAAATTTATCGAATCTCATGACATGTGTTAGATTCGCCCCCTCCATTAGATTTATAGATTTATTATTATTTCTATTGGTTTGGCAGTACCGTAGTGGTTTTTATTGGACATTATGGACAAATTATTATTGGTTGTTATAATGCACGTATTTAAATATTTATTATACCAAAGATTAAAAACAAGTAATTAATATGAAGAGAATCTTCATAGTATTTAATTAATTAATAACCAATATTAAATAACTAGTCAAATTCTTGCCTATTTGTTTTTAAATTTTGAATAAAAAATATATAATCTGATTGAAAATTAACAAATTTTTTATTGTTATAAATAATTGCATTTTCATTATGCCTGACTTAATTGATTACTTTTTTTGTTGTATATTAAAAACATTAAATAGGAATTTCTTATAATTGTATGATATAAAAACGAAAATAAATTAGTAATTTAAATTTTATTGCGTATGTATGGGAATAAAAATTGCATATTTTGGAGATGAATATTTGAAATATCGTATTATTTTTTTATCAAATAATTAAGTCCATGTCGAAGTTCGTCTCTATCTTTACAATTATTTTAGATTAGATTTATAAGAAATGAATTAAAATAAATTTCAGATGATTTATTTTTTATTCGATTTTCATAATTTTTTTGTAGGTAGTTATTAATAAATATTTGAAGGGTCCAAAGCAAAAACGCTAAAGGTCATTAAAAGTTAATTATCTGTAAATCGAATTTTAAGTTTCTAAACCAAAATACACTTACAGCAGAAATATTAAGGAAAATGAGTTAGTAGCCATTTTGTGCAACATTTATTGGAAAATATTATGTGAAGAACGAGAGCTTAAATAAGGCTGAAGCTAGAGACAAACCGCGCTCGCTTAATGTTTTGGTTTAGGTGGACTTTAATAAAAAAATACTTGGAAGCTGAAGCTCTTTGAAAATGTTGCCCTATCACCGGTTTATCTCAAATATTTTCGATTTTAGAAAAAATTTAGTAGCACGAAAGTCAGAAATAAATCAAAATTAGTGTATTTATTAAAAAAAAAGGATTAATTCAATTTGAATTATTAGTTAAAACAAGATAATCTTACAGAAGACGGGGATAAAACAAACACATTTAAAATGCGATTATAAATAAAATTTTAATAACAAATATTCATTAGGTTTTTAATAATTTTGGGCAAGCAATGATTTAAAATATATTTTTTTGGTCTTTTCAAAGTCAGGTGTTTTGTCATCAAACGACTATGAGAACAGAGACCAAAAAAACACATTTAGCACGAAATTACAAATACAATTTTTATACCAATTATTTAGTACACTACTAGCTATAAAATAAATAAAAAATCATTAACTATCAAGACATCTAAATATAGTTTTTAGGTCTTTAAAGTCAGTTGTTTCCGCGGATAAATATTACTCAATAAAACTAACAAAAACAAAATTTAGAGATTCCAAATACAATTTTTATACCAAAGATTCGATAAACAAGTATCAATAAAAAAAATAATAAATCATTACATAGCAAGACCTCTAAATACGTTTTTTATGTCCTTAAAACGGCGCGGTTTCGCGGAAAAACATTAGTCTATCAAAATATCAAAAACTGACATTTAGCACGAGATTCCAGATGTAATTTTTAGGACAAATGATTCAGTACATTAGTATCATTTAAAAACACAATAAATCATTACATAACAAGACCTCTAAATACGTTTTTTAGGTTTTTAAAAATGCACATTTCCGCGGATAAACTTTACTTTATCAAACTGACAAAAAACAATATTTAGCACGAAATTCCAGATATAATTTTTAGTACGAATGATTCAATACATTAATGTCATTCAAAAACACAATAAATAATTACATAGCAAGACCTCTAAATACGTTTTTTATGTCCTTAAAACGGCGCGTTTTCGCGGAAAAACATTACTCTATCAAAATATCAAAAACTGACATTTAGCACGAGATTCCAGATGTAATTTGTAGGACAAATGATTCAGTACATTAGTATCATTTAAAAACACAATAAATCATTATATAACAAGACCTCTAAATACGTTTTTTAGGTATTTAAAAATGCTCGATTCCGCTGATAAACATTACTCTTTCAAAATAAGAAAAACCAACATTTAGCATAAAAATCCAGATATACAGTGTGTCCGAAATTGGTGATACATGTATTGCGATCTCCGAAATTGTTAGAGATAGAAAAACAGTCAAATGGGGAAAGTTTTAGATAATTCTGTTTATAGGTCAATACCGTTTAGTTTGAGATTTTTTCTCTTTTGGTTTTTGAGATATTTTGAAAAAACTAAAATGACGCATTTCCGAAAATACCCTGTATTTTCTTTATTTATGAACATTACTAAAATCTGTGAAAACTTTCTTGGAGCAACTTTTTGCGTAGAAAACGCATGTGTCGTCAGATTTTATTTGCAACGTTTCGGTTTCATGGAACCATCATCAACTTTGTTTTTTCATATGGGCGCCATATTGGATTTTTATCTCAAACTAACGGCATTGAATTATAAACAGAATTGTCTAAAACTTTCCCCATTTAACTATTTTTCTATCTCTAATAGTTTCGGAGATCGCAATACATGCATCACCAATTTCGGACACACTGTATTTTTTAGTATCAAATACATTAGCATAATTCAAAAAAATAGTAAATCATTACATAGAAAGAGCTCCAAATACGTTTTGTAGATCTTTAAAAATGCGCCATTCCGCGGATAAACCTTACGTTATCAAAATGACAAAAAACAATATTTAGAACGAAAATCTAGGTATAATTTTTAGTATGAATGATTCAATAAAAACTCACAAGAAAAATAAAGCCTGGCACTAGGCAATAATTGAACTAGGCACAAACAAATTCCCGGAGCCCGGGCACAAGTGGGAGCCAGGCAGGTTTAGGTGAGGACGTTTTACAAAAGGGAGGAAGGAAGGAGCACTGGTATATGTAAATTATAAGATGGGGACCTTTTTTTTATAGAGATTTCACTAAAAAGGATCTAAGTTTTTGCTTGAGGACCTTTTGGGCCCCATTCGCTCTCAGCGACCCTGTAAAACCCTTAACAATAACAAGCACAACATTAGAGATTAGTATCTCATCTGCACTCCTTCAACAAAGAGTCAATGGGCTCATAAACCTTGACAATCACTTGATACAAAGATAATAAAAATAAGTGTCACTACGAACACTTTAAAGTGTCGTTACGCACAAAACTGTTAAAAAAATGTATCTGTTAGCTTAAAAAAAATATAACAGAGCTACTTGCATAAGATCAGTACAAAAATGATCCAATAATTTTATTTTAATTCACCTATTTTACAATTATACCTGGATTTTCGTGCTAAATATTGGTTTTTGTCATTGTGATAACGTTGGAGGTCTTGCTATACAGTGAGCTTCATAACTAACTCGTTACTGGAGTCTTGTTAGGAAAATCGCCGAGACAGGTTGATTTTTGATTTCTACAATGTACATTTTTGTATGAATAGTTTACCCTTAATTTCATCCCTTACTGGAGGGGAGCCACCCTTTCGAAAAATTTAAATGACATGGGGTAGTGAGTAATAGCTCATTTGAAAGAGGGTTTTATTCTCTATTCAACTGTGCAAAAAAATTTTAAAATTTGCTTCATTACGTGTTGATTTATTAATGTTTAAAAATAACAAAATATCACAAATAAGAAAGGAACTTAACTAACAGTGACCTTATCTAATAGCAAAAAGTCTTACTTCACGTCTGAACCAAAACCGATATCATGCAGGGCCGAATTTTAATTCTAAGGATGAGTGCGTTACGTTAATTTCCGTTATTCTGAAACAATAATTAGTCGAGAATTAATGAAGCTAATTTAATTTTTTTTTGCACGGTTGAATAGAGAATAAAACCCTCTTTCAAATGAGCCATCACTCACCACCCCATGCCAAATTTTTCGAAAGGATTGCTCCCCTCCAGTAAGGGATGAAATTAAGGGTAAACTATTCATACAAAAATGTACATTGTAGAAATAAAAAATCGACGTGTCTCGGCGATTTTCCTAACAAGACTCCAGTAACGAGTTAGATAGGGGGGGGGGTAAGACTTATGATGCTCACTGTATAATGATTTCTCGTGTTTTTGAATGATACTAATGTACTGAATCAATTTTCCTAAAAATGGTACCTGGATTTTCGTGCTAAATATTGATTTTTGTCATTTTGATAAAGTAAGGTTTATCCGCGGAACCGCGCATATTTAAAGACCTAAAACAAGTATTTGGAGGTCTTCCTATATAATGATTTCTCGTGTTTTTGAATGATACTAATGTACTGAATCATTTTTCCTAAAAATGATACCTGCATTTTCGTGCTAAATATTGATTTTTGTCATTTTGATAAAGTAAGTTTTATCCGCGAAACAGCGCATTTTTAAAAACCTAAAAAAATATATTTAGAGGTCTTGCTATGTAATGATTTATCGTGTTTTTGAATGATACTAATGTACTGAATCATTTGTCCTAATGATACCTGGATTTTCATGCTAAATATTGGTTTTCGTCATTTTGATAAACATAAGATTTATCCGCGGAACAGCGCATTTTTAAAACCCTAAAAAACATATTTAGAGGTCTTGCTATGTAATGATTTATTGTGTTTTTGAATGACATTAATGTATTTAATTATTCGTACTAAAAATTATATCTAGAATTTCGTGCTAAATATTGGTTTTTGATATTTTGATAGAATAATGTTTTTTTGCGAATCCGCGCATTTTTAAAGACCTAAAAAATGTATTTAGGGGAATTGCTTTTTGATGATTTATTATTTTTTTTATTGATACTTGTTTATTGAATCTTTGGTATAAAAATTGTATTTAGAATCTCGTGTTAAATTGAGTAATATTTATCCGCGGAAACACTTGATTTTAAAGACCTAAAAACTATATTTAAGATGTCTTGCTATTTAATGAATTTTTTATTTAGTTTATAGCTAGTAGTGTACTAAACAATTGGTACAAAAATTGTATTTGTAATCTCGTGCTAAATGTGTTTTTTTGGTCTCTTTGTTCTCATAGTCGTTTGACGACAAAACACCTGACTTTAAAAAGACCAAAAAAATATATTTTAACAAAATCCTTCTATTGGTTTAACAGATACAGATAGTGCCCCTCCTGCACTGGGCTGTATTTCTTGAACTCCATAAAAAAATGTACCAGCCCCTTTAACTGAATCTTGACTACGCCCATGCACGTATATATTTAGCTTTATCAAAAGTAATACAAATATAAATACGAATTTGGGAATTTAAATAGTAATAATAAAAATAATAATCCCGTTGTTTGTTATATCAGCTCGGATAACAGAAGAATACCACATTTATGTGCTTCAGGTCAGTAGAGTGATTTTTATCAATATTTTTAATGTATCTTATCGTCGGTCTTTATTCAATTATCTAATTCATTCGATTTTTTTGTTTTTTCCTGATTAAAATGTGTTGACACTAGCTTAAAACGAAAATTATAATATATATAACCGCCCCCACTTTTATTTGGAGCCCTATTTCATGTTTAATAAAGTATAACCAAGTAAGACTATTAGTTTTTTGGTCAAAAGAAAAATTAATGTCTTTAGCGGGAACCCAAGAAAGAGCTAATGACATGTTTACGGAACTGATATACTGATAAGTCACAGAAATAGATTAAATATCCAAGGATTTATATATCAAAATCGAGTATTTTGTAGTTTCATATAATATATGAAATACAGTGAACACGTAAAAATAAAATAATTTTTCCAGCAAGTGTCAAATTATCTACTTTACGCAATCAGCTCTATAATGTTAAAGATTATGAAACTGGTTTCAATCATTATGTCCCCAGTTTCTAAACTTTATTTTTACTTTTTTTTGCTTTTTTCCTTCTTTACTTTTTTGCTTTTTTTTTACTTTTTTTTATTTTATTAAAATACGCGGTGTTTGTAATAACAAGTTTCTTATACTCCCTTTAAATCGATAATGATTACTTGTAATTTTATTATTTTCTGGTACGTAGTATGTGGAAATAAACACGAGGAGCTATAAAATAGAAAGATCTTTGACCAATTTTTTTATAGGCTCTGTGTGTCTGTATTGTTTATCTTTTTTGTGGCGAGTTGGATAAAAATGTAAGATTTTTGTAATAAATTTCTTTTTTTGTGTTGGATACCCTACTCTCAAACTCAGGAGAGTGCTACACCGCAGTGTTGCCAGATGACCAAAATCAAACTGATCTTACTAGTGTGACGTTATCGAAGGCATTGGTTGTTTTTTGGCAAAAAAGATGGACAAACCTTTGTCTAGCTTTGGTAATATTTCAGGGCAAGAGTGTTAACAGCAGATCACAACAAGAACAACCAAAGTTTAGTAATCAAGCAAAATATGTCAGTCTCTCCAGAATTATAAACTTATGAAAACTATAATTGGAAACATGTATGGCTTCGAATAGGAAATTACCCAAATTAGCATGTCTAGTGCATATTACATTTAAAAATATATTTTTAACCAAAAATTTTGGGCTTATACTTCAATATTAACCATATATAGAAATACATGGGTGAGGTTTTCCTCACCTGTAAGTCAAATGGCACCATGAATCATCTTTAAGTCGCCCCGAAACGCCACGGCAAATAATAATAATAGCCGTCTCTTTCCCCGCACAAGCTCAGCTTTTGGGGTTAAAATTCACTCGTAAGGGGGTGAATTAGGGAGAGTATTATTATTATTATTATTATTATTATTATTATTATTACATATGCATTTTATAGTATTAAGTAAGATTCGGATCAAATGTATCCACAATTGATAAACATTATTAAACTAAAATTAACCAATTTCAAATAACATCTGTTTTTTATTTAAATAAAAGTTAAATATAGGTATGTTCTTTTTTCTACTCCCTTACTAGTAAATTGCCCATTACCTACTATTTGAATGCTAAGTAAATATGTCATTACAGTTACTAACACGTAATGACTAGCACGTAATAAAAAAAATCTGATGTGTCCAACACATGACTTTCCTATCTAGTTATTATAGACTTTTTCCGGTTATTTTGTACAAGCTATTGCAGCACTTCTATAAATGTTTAGAAGATAAACTAAATATATACATTTTCTACATACCAGATCCCAAAATGTATACAGGTCACTGTTTAAGACAAACTTCTGCCACTCTTTTGGTTGATGCCGGTGGTGATCTAATGGCTCTTAAACGACATGGCGGATGGAAATCTTCAACAACAGCCGAAGGATATGTCGATGAGTCAATAAATAATAAAACGTCAACAGCCAATAGAATTATAAATTCAATTGAAAATAATCTACAAACCTTTACATATACTGAAAATACCAATGTCCAAGAAGAACACACCGTATAGTTTACGTCATCCCACCATTCACCGCGTAAGGGAATAGTTAAAAATAATTGCCAAAATGTTGAAGAACACACCGTACAGTTTACGTCATCCCACCATTCACCGCGTAAGGGAATAGTTAAAAATAATTGCCAAAATGTTGAAGAACACACCGTACAGTTTACGTCATCCCACCATTCACCGCGTAAGGGAATAGTTATAAATAATTGCCAAAATGTTACAATTAATTATTACAAATAAATGTTTAATTTAAATTGTTCCAGAATTTTGTGAAATAAAGTTACTTGTTATGCTTTTTATTTCTATAAATTAAAATAGTCGTAGAAAAAGTATAGTACACAACTAGAGTTGTAAGCTTATTACATGCTCATAAAATTACTGCGCTCGCGCGCAACTTTTTTATTCGCATGTAATGAGCTCCTTACAACTCTCGTTATGTAATATACTATTTAAATACATAAATTAATCTCAACCACATATTTTTTTTGTTTTTACTTCTAGTGGCGAAGTCTATATTTAAAAGTGACTACTAATTCACAGTCTTTTAAGTTTATTATTTAAGGAGACCAGCTACTACAAAATATTCTATTGACGATAACTAATTTCTCTTTAATAATGGTTTTGCATTTATCAACATTTTACAGCACTTTGTTTATATGAGACATCTATCTAACTCTTATTTAAATCACATATTATGTAGAACATTCTTATTGGGACTTAAGTCACTTAAAAATGTTGAAAGAGAATGTCATAGAGGTAAAATTATTTCTTCTATGGTGTTGTTCATGCAATTTTAGGTTGTAAACGTTTTGTCGCAACACCTTTTTTCACAATTTATCCGAAGCAACACTATGAAAGATTTTAATCCTGGATTTACAGCATTCCGTTTTGAGATTGATGAGAGGAATGCAGTCACAATGCAGTTTCAGAAATAATTTTCCCAGCACAAACGCATGCACTTATTCATGTAATATAAAAATAAAGTGGAAATAAATTGGTACATAAGAAAGCACAATGTTTTTAATTTTTATTCCTTTTATTCCAAACGAACATCAGAAAAGTGTTGCCAACTTAATCTGACTACTATTTCTCCCCTAGCCTCAGTCACCTCCTCATCCATTACCTGGGTCTATGTCGCAACCCCCTTAGATATACCAGCCCTGCTTTCTCTTTAAATAATGTAAATTGTATTGGTTCGTGTGACATAGTAAAGGAAATGACTTATGACATTTGAGAATATGATAGAAAGGTGTGTAATAAAAATCTACCCTGTTTTAAGCAATTTTTTATTATTCTTTTTAATTAGTAGATATTACCAATGAGAAGTTTTAAAATGAACATCCTATATATCAAAAAAAGCTAAAGGATTAGTTGATTTCTGAAGGGAAACGGTCGCTCGTACTATGTGACACATGGTTCATGTTTATTTATTTTATTTTACCCAATATATCTTTGTGAGATTCAAAGAAATTTTCTTTTTTGTCTATAAATTACCCTAAACTTGGCTGCCTCCAGTATTAATATAATATTAATTTGTTACAGAAATGATGTGGTAGGGATCACAATCATTTTCTACTCCTTTGTGGCGTGGGACGAGATTCGCAGCAATTTTTGGAGACGCACGGTACTCTGCAGTGATATTAATCGTAAGTACCTATCTTTCCAATATTTTAAATAAAAATATGCGTATTTTTTACTACATAAAAAAATACGGTAAATTTTTTATTAAATCCGCTCACTGTGTATAGTAATACTTCTTTTTTTACTAGTTCAAGTTCATAATATTTATCTACACATTTATTTAATAATTAAAATCAATGAGTTTATCCATAAAATTTAGTTTACGTATATTTTAGAATGTCTAAAATTATTTCTGTGAAATGCAGCTCTACAGCACTTATGCGTCTACCGAAATTGCGCTACCTTATATAATCCTTCGACTTTCATAGCCATTGTTATTGAACATACTTTTGAATATGAAAAAAGAAAGCAAAAAAATCTTTATTTGTTCAGTCAATGACCTGTCTGTGTTGAGCGTGTCGCAATATTATAATATACTTCATGCTCCTAGATGTACAAGTATTTTTACATACAAATTAAAACATGGGACAGAAAACAATTTTTCATTTACATATTGAAATAATGAACGTTATTACGTCATGATATAAGTCTCACTAAACTGTGTGATTTTAATTTATTTTGTAATAATAGACATTCATTTTATTTACGAAAAACAACATAAAATATTCATAACAATATTACTAAAAAATAATAAACTAAGTAAAAAACAATTTAATAAGACAAAATTGTAACAAACATATCAGGCTGTTTAACTTTGACTACTTACTCATCTCATAAATATTTACAATGGTATTAAGATGTTTTTTTTAAGGCATTTACAGCACTAAATTAAAAACACATCTGTTAATAAATGTTAATTAATAACAAAAAAAAAAATTATAAATTGTTAATTCAAATATGTCCAGCTGCTACTTTTAAATTAACTAATTTTAATTCAATAAAACCACGATAATCCTTAAAATAATGCAACACAAATATAGGAGGACATTAGCTTAGATAATAAAATCTGGAGATAATAAATATCCATGGATATGCAACCCCCTAAAAGTGTTTTGCAAGTCGAAAGGTATTAAACAATCCACTAGTGCCTAAGCAACTTGTTTTTATAAAAGTTAATTTTCAAAGAAAATACCTTGTTGCCAAACTTTTTCGCTACCCTGTATATATTAAGAAAATACGCGAATTGTTTACTTAGACTTAGATCGATAGCAGTGACGTACGTTCATGCAAACTTTGTTTAAAATTGTACGAATGTAGCGCCATCTTCTGGTTAATTCTATAAGCATTCTAAAAGACAAAATTAAAAAACCCACGTACTTGTGAAGTTGATTTTGACCTTGAAGAAAATTCTTCAATTAAAGAAAAATCACAAAATACGTTAGACACCTACTTATGAAAATCAACTGCGTGGGATCCTTATTTTATCCGTGTTGCCTGTTGTCTTTTTATTTGATAATTACGGGAATGTCTAGAGTGATAATATTAAAAGGAATTGTGCGATTCTTTGCAGATGGGATTAATTTATTTAAATTTTAAGTAGAGGAAGTAGTTGAATGGGTTCAGAATAGGGGAATTGTTGTTGTATTAAATTCCGTTTATTATTACTTACTTGTTTAATTATGTTGTTTTGTGTGGCCATGCAAGATTAAAGAGGAACTTCACTAAAATTTAAACATTTAAGAAACAGCTTTAGAGAAATCTTATGGCATCTATTGTTGATGTATCTACATTTACATACCCTTATTATCTACAAACTATTACTCTATGATTTGTATTTTGCTTTTGTTCTGGTAGCTAAGGTTTTTTCAATATTGATTGATATATAAAATAATTTTTTGATTAAAGTATTACGAAGAGTCATTGAAGTTTTCTTTTTCCGAACAGATAAAATAACAGTATCCACTGGTAAACATCAATATCTATACCTACTGTTTTGACTTTCTGGCTTTGACCTTTATCTGTGATTTTGACTTATATAATAATTCAGGTGTCATTCTCATACTTCGTAACTCCAAAGTTCACATTTTAAAGGAGAGCCAAACCCATGGAGGATTGGCTAAACCTCGCAGCGTGCTTAATACGAAGTTCGTATACAGGGCAACATAAAAATTTTATTTTTTTGTGGGCTACAAGGTTTTCTGTAATGATAAGTATTGTGCAGAGATCAGGAACATAAAGATAGGTGACGCAACGACCGCACCAACGATGGCGTCATCTATACGTCTCAGATGTTAACTAAAAGTACACGTCGTTTGTAAGCAGACCTCCGAGCAAAGGATTTGAAGGATATTTAATTGGCATTTTTTGACATCCTTGTCAAAATATGGCAAATAAAGCAAATCCAACTTTTGAATTCAAACAAAAATTCCAATAAAAATGTTGCAAATCCTCAAATGTCTTTTGATGGAAAAAATGTAAACAGCAATAAATATAACAAATATTTGGGTAGGTAGGTATACTGATATTTATTTTTTTTGTCTTCCAGAAAGATATATAAAAAATGAGTTACGACAATGTGGTATCTCGATTGGGTGATTTTGGACCTTACCAAAGAAAAATATATTTTCTACTGTGTCTACCAGCTATATTATGCGCCTTTCAAAAGATGGGGAACGTTTTTTTGGTAGCTGAACCCAATTACAGGTAAGCGAATCAATTTTTTGAATAATAATTCGATGGTTTTCAGGAAATAAGGGGATCGGTAATTTTTGGTTCTAATTTGTCAGCTTCTCAGAATTGATTAAAGTTGAACCGCTGATTTTTAATAGTCATGAATTCATATAGATTTCAAATTATTGTGCTAGGTTGAACTTTTGTATAAAGTTCAACTTACTTTACCAAATTTTTATTCGAAAAGTTGTAGGTATAAATGAATGTTTTACCCAAAAGTGACTTATCCCATTATTCCTGTTAAAATAAATATTGCACCCAATTTTTTAGAGGTTATTTCCAAAATTCGACATGTTTAATTTAAATAATGAAAATGGTAATATACTTCGTTTACCATCCACCAATATATTGAAGGTTATAGTGTCAAGAATAACGTAGAATAAATTCTCAGAACACTAATCTCAGAAACCCATAAATATATAGCCGTGCATAATTTACAAATTGCAGTATTTCAAAGTTTTAAATTTTTCCTTTACACTTTTTCCGTCTGCGCCTAACCCAGGTGGCTCAAGCACACTTTGGGATATGAGGATGTAAACAGACTTTCTCACTTCAATTTCTTTCATTAAAAGTAAATGCTATTTAACTCTCGCCTTAACACTTTTGAAAGATTCTAGCATATTCAGATCCTTAGGCTGAGGCTCATCCTTGATCTAGGAGAATAGTTTCTTTACTTTCCTTAATTGTCTCCTAGTTTCTAGTGTCCTAAGATTTTCCTAGAAATATTGTACGAAATTTTACGCTCTGGGCAAAAGGATTTATTTTATCGGTAAAATTAAAACCTCAAAAAATTGTAAAAAATATTTTTATTTTCAGTTTTTCTAGCACAAGAGATACTAACATTCGACATACTTGCGAAATACTATTTAAAAACATTAGGTGGTATAATCTCTACCTATTTAATTCGAGTAAAATATCGACACAAAATAAATACGAATACTAAAAATACGAGTCATTTGTACAATCAAAAAGTCGATCTGACTTCGCATCTGAGTTGAAACATCTGCAATGTTATCAATCTGCCGAGCAACTGTTTGTGGTAGAATTGTTCTACCTCGAAGCTGAAACAAACCAAATCATTTTCACCATTTCATTTGACGTTTCACAGTGTATTAGTAAAAAAACGATTATATTTCAGCACGGGATTCTTGTGTTGCAAACTCGACACGATACGTATTGAATATAGATAAATTATATAACGCACACTCGGTAATAAAGTGGCATAACTCAAAATTTGCATGTTTAAACTGTAATTGTAAAACGGTCCAAAATGGCGCTCTACATGTTGTAATGAGAGGCCGTTAATTAGTGATAACGATAACACAGGCCCGCGAAAATTTTGTGATCTAGCCATTTTTTTTTTTCACCTATTTACAACTTCTATATAGCTAAAATAACCCTCTTTTAATTCTATCACGTAAACTTTTTTTGTAAACTAGTATCAAGGGTATTATCCCTGAACATCACAAACAAATTAATTTAAATTCCTTAGTTTTGTTCAAAACGTTGAGACGCGTTAAAACCTCGTTTTAATTTGCGCATTTGTAGGGGGATTTACCGGTACTTACTAGAATAGTGTTGGGAATTCCCCGAGACTCGATTTATTCAGGAAAGAGGGCGGTATATTTAGTATCCCCGGGGTATTGAGACAGGCGTTGTCTATCGAATTCTATCGGTGTTTCGTTGTGCACTTTCTATTAAAAAAATGTCTAGTAGATGTTGTAAAATTAGACCTGATGACTTTTGTTATATTTGTGGACACTTTATAGTGAATAAGTTTAAAAGAAACATTACTGATTTCGTAAAAAATGCATATTTTGCAAATTTTAAAGTCAGACTTTGAGATCAAGATAAACGGGCGCCACATGTTATCTGCAAGATTTGCGAAGAAGCCTTGAGGCATTGGTTTAAAGGAACAAGAAAAGCCCTACCGTTTGGAATAGCAATGTTGTGGAGAGAACCTAAAAATCACATTCACGACTGCTATTTTTGTCTTTGTGATATTAAAGGTCATAACACAAAATCTCTAAAGTATATTAACTATCCTAATCGTTCGTCTGCAATAAGACCAGTTCCATATGACTTAGTTAGGGATTTGGGACTTCCAAAAGACCTCTCTGAGGTTTTAGGATCAAGGCTTAAAGAAAAAAAAATACTTGCTCCAGGTACTACATTTTATTGGTATAGAAATCGTGAGGCTGAATTTGTCAATTACTTTGCCGTAGCTGGTTCACTTGTATATTGTCAAAATGTATCTGACTTGGTTATTCACCTAGGTGCTCCTGAATACAATCCTGCCGAGTGGAGACTTTTTATAGACTCTTCAAAGAGAAGTCTTAAAGCTGTTCTACTTCATAATGGCAATTTATATACATCTGTTCCTGTTGGTCATTCTACTCAGCTAAAAGAAAATTACGAAAATCTTGAGGTACTGCTTTTAAGAATAAACTACAGACAACATAACTGGTGACCTTAAAATTTTATGGTTGCTTTTAGGTCAACAATCCGGATATACGAAATACCCATGTTTCCTATGTGAGTGGGACAGTAGAGGAAGAGATGACCACTGGACCAAAAAAAAAACTGGCCACCAAGAAAAAATTTAACGCCTGGCTCCAAAAACGTAATTCGGGAAAGCCTAGTAGATTTTATTACCCTCTTTACATATAAAATTGAGGCTGATGAAACAGTTTGACAAAGCTCTAGACAAAAATGGTGGTTGCTTTAAGTACTTGTGTGAAACATTTCCGGGTCAATCTGAAGCTAAATTAAAAGAAGGCATCTTTGTTGGGCCACAAATAAGAAGGTTGATGAAAACTAATGAAATTGAGACGGTTATGCAGGAAGACGAAAAAGAAGCATGGACAGCTTTTAAATAAGTTTCTAGGAAACTACAAAGACCCTGAATTTGAAAGTATTGTTGAAAACATGTTGGATAAAGTTAGGCTGTAACATGAGCTTAAAAATTCATCATCTACATGCTCATCTTGACTAGTTTCCGGTAATCTTGACTAGTTTCCGGTAATCTTGACGATGTCAGTGAAGAGCAAGGGGAGCGCTTTCACCAGGACATAAAAGAGATGGAACGGCGATATCAAGGGCGCTGGGATATCAAAATGATGTTGGATGCTTAAAAGGGACCGTCCTACCGCAAAATATGCACGAAAAACAACAAAAAGAAGCTTTTCCGGAAAGAAAGATTTTTCAAGAAAACACAGGATTAATGTATGTTATTTTTTAACTACTTCCCCTGTTTTATTGTTTGTTTTCTTGGTTTATTATTTTCTTTTTTATTGCCTACAAAGGATTAATGTTATTTTTTAACTACTTTCCCGGTTTTATTGTTTGTTTTCTTGGTTTATTATTTTTTTTTTTTATCCTAAGTATCTATAAATTTATTTTTACTTTTTGCATTCTTGTAGTATTTTGTTTAAAAACCTTACGTGATAGAAAAAAACTAAAAGCAGATTTGAAATCAACGTCACCGAATACCCAATTTCAGTTGAAAAGTTCATTTCACATTTTACAGAGTATTTAAACGCAGGCCTGTGTAATTAATGTTCAATTACCTTCGTTGATTAATTATATTTAATTTTGATTAACTCTTAGATATTTTTATACCAAACCATTTACTTGCCTTAATTCAATTAGAAAATCAAATGAGCATATGAGACTGGAGTCGTCAATTCAGGCTTTTCTAATAGACACTTTTGGGAAATATTTTTAAGGATATATGGGTGCAAATAACTCTTTTTTTATTTTTAAAAAGCTAGTTGAGGATTATAAATACCAAAAGGACAAAATTAACTGAACTAACTCAGAGTTATATATAATTTTAGCAAAAAGAGAATTGTAACTATAAAAATATAGATTCAAAACAATATAAATTTGTTTATTATTTAACAGTGAAAATGTTCATTGATGTGTACAATTACCAAATAAAATTTACAAGGAACATCAGAAATCCAATTCAAATAACTAGCGAATTAGAAACAGTTGCTAACACTACGATTGTCTAATAGATTTTATCCAGAAACTTTGAACATTGTAATGGATATTTTTACCATTTGGCGTCTATGATACATTAAAAAATACAAGTATTAGAAATTAAAAATTTAAAAAAACCGACTTCAAAAACATGCAGATGCCGTCACCACATCTTAACCAAATTTAAATGGAACCACCCCTGAGGTACCCCCTTACTAACAAAAAAAAGAATCATATGAATCGGACAAGGTGGTAAAACATTAACGCTAAACATACATAAAAAATGAAGAGTTTGAGGATTTTGTCATGGACCCAATTATTAGATTTTGACCAAATTTATATGGGACCACCCCTGAAGTACCCCCTTTCTAACAAAAAAGAATCATTGAAATCGGACACCGTGTTAAAGAATTATCGCTGAACATACATAAAAAAAAATATCGCGACGAATTGAGAACCTCCTCCTTTTTTGAAGTCGGTTAAAAATAGGCATAATACAATCTTCACTATCCACTAGATCGGCATCTTAGCACAGTGTGATCTGGATGCTAATTCTCTGCGATTCAACTCAACGAGTCGACTTTAATTCTTTCTTAATTTACATCAAAGTACAGCTTAGATATTTACGAATCGTAGACTGCCAAATATTCGCTCTCTAAACAAAAATAAATTCTGTTTTTTTACGAGGCCCTTACAAGAGATATATGCCTCTAACAATTGACACCTCAATAACTGATCACCATACAGTAATGCTCCAAATAAAATTGTCATCCTCATTATTATGCCGAAATAGATAAAAATAAACTACTATCCAATATATTTATATAGGATATCACCTATTCAAAATAACATTTTTAAAAGATGATTTTTAAAATGTTACAATGTAGAGCTTTTTAAATGACGGTGCTACTCCAACGCAGTACGTCTTAGTTTTGGAGTAGCCATTTTGTGCCGCTTTACGATTAAAAATTTAAACATGCAAATTTTGAGTCATGCCACTTTATTACTGAGGTCTCGATACGTGACGTATCGAAAGATAACAATCCCACTGCTGGAATGAGCTGAAAATGTTTGACATACACTTTTGAGGAACTTACCCCGCTTTATTGAACAGTTCCCTGCATCCATCTTGGCACTCGCCGATGGCCAGTTCGATGGCATTGAATTGGTTCGTCCTGCACCAATCTTGAACTGTGTTTATTAATTTTAAACCCACTCCTTTTCGTCTGTACCTTCGAAAGATGAGCTCGGTAAATATCACCGTTGATGACAGTTATTATATAGTGTTTTAGTACCGCATTTCAATGGTCAAATCCCGTTTTAGCAATAATTTAAAAAAGGAACGAATTGTATTGCACAAAAATTATATATGTCAGTGTATGTCATTCAATAGAAAGAAAGAAATTTATTGGTCTATATAAATAACAAACACAACATGTTTAGACACGTCATTAAATACTAAAAGTAGGCATATTGATATACTTTACATATACTTAACAGTTAAAATAGAAATTTAAAATGAGGAATCAATTTTCAGAGGTAGATCTCAACCAGTCAAAATCGAATACTTCCTTAACATCATAAAATGCCTGGCCTACAAGTGCCTGTTTTAAGATAAATTCTAATTTTATGGGCAAAGATGATAGCTTCCAAAATGTATAAACAAGGTATTGTGAAAATCTCTAATTCGATAAAAAAAGGCTTTGCTTGCTCTCTAAAATTAGCTTTGACCTTATTCCTTAATATTTTCTTTTGATAGATAAAGACATCATTTGATGATGTTGATGATTCCCACAGTAGTACTCCATATTGTAAATGACACTGAATAAAGCCAAAATATGCAATTCTAAGAACTTATCATGTGAAAATCTAGTAGTTTTACACTTTGTTCTCCTTCTGCAATTTCAGTACTTTTAGTAAAGTTAATTACTTTGGTTTTATCTTTATTTAGACACAAAACGTTTGCATTGAAATATTGTTCACTTTTTGCCTGTACCTCGGTTGACATCCCATTTATCATATTAGTGTCTTTGCTGCTCACAAAATATGTTGTGTCATCTGCATATATAAATGTATCTGCTACATCAACATACGAAGGAAAGTCATTCATATATAAAATAAATAGCAAAGGGCCTAAAACAGATCCCTGAGGAACTCCATATCTAACCTCCTTTACATCAGACTTTAAACTGTTGTGAATAATATATTGTCTAAAAATGATTTCACTTTTTCCATACTTTTGCAGCTTTTTGTTGTTCTTTCGTATTTATAGTTTTTTATTTAGAAATACTCATGTTTATGTAGGATTCTTCGACCTTGTTGTCTTGGTTTTTACTTGATGTGTTTGGATGTTTTTGTGTAATTACTAGTTGAAGTTTTTCTTCCAATAGCTGTTTATTTTTTTCAAGTAATTTTACATTATTTTCTAATAATTTATATTTAGATTCTGCTTCCCACAAAAGTGTTTCCAGCATATCATTTTCCATCAATATTCGTTACAAATCGTACTTTGGTGTTTGTGATGCTAAATTATTTATTAATATGAAGAGGTTCTCTGCCAAAGGTCATTAATTTACAGTTTACCAAATGAAAACAAATAATAACTGCTAACTGTCAAATATGTCAGTAATTTTAACTTTTATTGAGTAAATAATACTAGAACAGAAGTAAAAGTTGGAAATGCTTTTGCCAGTTCTCCCACTTTATACACTTAAATTGACAGGTTGGCAGCGGATCTCACCGAAGGACCGAAGTGGACGCGATACATTGGCGTACAAAATTATTTTATAGATGTTAAAAACAATTTCGAGTAAATAGTTTAATAAATTGTGAATAGCTGTTGAAATTTTGTAAAAATATAATTTGAATATTACAATACATGTTTAATAATTATTTATAATCCATAAATACATGCGATTGTCCGGTTCCGCCGATAACAATTTAAAATAACTTATTCTATGAAACGACACTGGCAGGTTAACATTACTGTGACATTTTCCGAGCCGCCCGACGTGGTTTGACGTTTACCCCCTCTCTACCTACCAAAAGACTTTTCAACTTTTACTTTCTCTATACTGTAGGCTATGCTACCACATAACCCCATTTTATCTGAACCTTTGAATGTAAAAATCCAGTCAGCCAGTGCTACATGTTAGGGACATATTTTCTTTGGTTTCTAATGGATTTGATCGAAGTTAAAACACCTATAATAACTGACATTCACTGTGGCAAATAATAAGGTTTGTAAAGAACATACTCAGCGCCGGCGCTAGGTAATTGCCGCCTGACCTGAATCAACGTATAGAATATAGAGACATAATATAGATTAAAATTACTTTTTTTATATAATTTTGATACATAGTTCGTTTACCTTTTATCGACAACTAATCTGAACAACCAAGCCCAATCGTCTCTTCGGGAATGTTGTCCAACAGATATGGTTCCGATCATCTAAAAACAGTTTTTTTACATACAGTGTATCAAAAGTTTTACATGGTTAAATATATGATATACCTTTTCAAAAAATTTAGTTGGTTTTTCATTAAATATTAAATCTATATGACATTTTGCTTGTTTTTGTTAAATATTATGTTTATATGACATTTCCAATCGCCCAATGTTTCCTCCCTTCAAATGGAATTAATAATAATAAAGTTATATACCAATGTCCTTTTATCCTTATGTAAATATGACATTTCATGTTGAATGACGTTTTCTCAGTAAAAATCGGACATTTTACATCAACGCATATTGTTATTCCCTCTCACATTGATTTTCCTAAACCCAGCAGCTAAAAATCGATATTTTCTTTTTTTATATTGAATGGATTTTTTTTGTGTCATCAGCATCAATTTGCTAAGGTTATTTCGCCTCGTGTTCTGTGTAGGCTTTGATCCTGTTTCCCAGCGCCCCTTTAGGAACAGCACTGTTAATTAGAACCCAACAGTGAATGGTCAAGTGGGGACCGAATGGATTTATCAATACTTTTGTTAGTTTAAAAAAGATCTTTTATAGGAAAAATATGGTTGGCTTATTAACCCAAAAAATCATGATTCCTATACTTTCCTTATATCTGTATACAGATAGGAAAGTAAAAAGCAGAAAAAACTATTAAAATATTACCAATATCTTTTAAAACAAAATCAACTAAATGTATTTAAATATATTATTACTATTTTTCACATAAACACAACTCACTTTTCGTTGAAATCCATTCTGATCGATTCCCTCTTTAACCAAATCGGTTTCTTCTATTATTTTGTACCAACAGCTTTCAGGGGTCTTCATGAAAAAGTACGGTTCATATGATTCGGCTATCCAACATTTCAAAGGTCTTTTTTCGTAAATTAATTGTGCAGATTTCATAAAAATTGTCGAATATATAATGCAATAGAGGCTTATTAAAACAATAGGAACCGATACTATGCTGTAATATAACGGCACCCCAAAGCAGATGAACAGCAGAGCTGCTAACAGGATTATGAGTTGGAAAGTAATCTAAAAAAACCGTCATCGAATTAATTGAATGCTGTTAATAATATTAAATAATAAATACCTCTTGAAACAATGCATTTATCCAAGAATTGTTGACGGTGGATAAATATCCATTTTTCACAATTTCATTTAATACAGGCGTGTCACTCTCGCGTTTTTCCCTTATAACTATGTAATAACTCATAATGTCCTGTTAATTCAATGTTTATTTACATTATTAAAATATAATAGTTCAATAATGAAATAATTAAATAAACATAAACAAACACTAAACAAAAATAAATATTATATTAGGTTAAATTTCTCTTCTTTTCTATTGTTGGTTTTTAAATTGCCTTTTTCTGTATCAGTACGCTAGCTACTTACTTAGTGGCCTCTTACCTAACAAGCAATAAGCCGTGTGCCGTTTGTATTTTTATTGTTTTTCTTTTTAGATGCAGATTACCGGGTGAGCTGGAAAATGCTAGTTACCATTTAAACGATTCGACGTTGTCGACGTTTTATCCGAAAGACAAGCGAGATAAATATTCTTCGTGCGATAGGATTGTAGATGGTAAAATAGAAAAATGTGACTCGTACATTTTCGATGACACGGTGTACGGGTATACTTCTGTGATAGAGGTAAGTAATTTAATGAGAATGGGTTTACTGGCTATACGATGACAGAACTTTGATATAGACATTGACTCATTAAAAATATATTTTTATTATTTTCTTACAGTATGAATTAACATGCTCCAAAGCGTACTTGATAGCAACTTCCAACGCCATTTTCATGGTTGGAGTAATGCTCGGGTCTATAGGCTTTGGAGAAATGTCGGACAGGTAAGTACATGATAAATGAACCATAATAGTTGTGACATCAGTCTTCTAAACAAAGCAAAACGTGTGTCTTTTTATCCAACTGTTGCAGCAACGTTGGCATCGGTGCGGTATGTCAACTGTTATTTATTTCAACGGTCAACCAGAATACAACACAAAACGTTCAAGGCCGCATCGGTGAAACAACGGTTGCAACAAACCGGTGGAAAAAAAGACACACGTAAAATTTCCATAACAACGGTTGTGTCAAAGCTGTTATAGTTGTCAAACCGTTAAAAGAGGTTTTGTTTCTCTTAAATATGTTAAATATGATAAATTTCAGTCTGTAAAAACACCAACAAGCAATATATAGTTTTTACAGTCACATGAAACATTAGTTATTTCTTTACAGAACCAAGAACCAAACCAAAAATATTCGTAAAATATTTATTTACGACATTATGACAGATGGATAGTGACATCTGACATCGTTGTCATGGCAACTTGTTTTGTGTAGAAAGAACATGTTGCCCTTGTTTTGACGTCATGTCTCTCCATTTGGCGAATAAGATAAATGTAAAATACTCGTCCAATTCATGTTGGTTATTTTGATGGTCTCCATTAATTAGTTTCCGGTTTCCAGGTGCGGCCGCAAGAAGACATTTTTCATCTCCATAGTACTGCTGCTGATTTCGGGACTGGTCGCGGCCATAGCTCCGGAACTATGGTCGTTCACTTTTGCGAGATTGATGGTGGGAGCGTGCACGTCGGGCGTGTTCCTGGTCGCATATGTGATAGGCTTGGAGATGGTGGGACCTTCCAAGCGATTCATCGCCGGTACCGTGTGCCAATTGTTTTTCTCTTTAGGTTATATGCTGGTGGCTGTGTTCGCTATTTACATTCACAATTGGAGGTGGTTGCAGTTCGCGCTGACCATACCGGGCGTTGTTTTTTTGTTTTATTGGTGGTAAGTGGATTTCTGTTAAGATTTTTTTCTGTTTCTAATTTTATCTATCGGAAATAAATGTTACCCCTTTATTTCATTTTTATATACAATGGAGACAAATTCTTCACATTCAATAATCACAATCCACCTAAAACCTTTTCTTTTCTAAAAATCTCGTTGACAATCCCATCAATATTTCCAAAAATTTACTTCTGATATTTATTTTTAAAAACAATGATTTTCCCAAACAATTTATAAGTTCCAGACCATTTTACCCATCAAACGTATTACTGTAATAGTATATAAATTAAGCTTAAATTTTTCTTGGGTATTACCGTTTAACATGATGAACTGCGATAGCTTCATGAAGAGCGAGCACGCCTTACGTCCCACTCTGTTTGCGTGTTGGAGTCGGCGGATGAGTTCTGCTTTCTCTCTCTCTTATTCTCGCTTCATATGAATATTCTTCTTTCAGTTGCTCCTTATAGTTTTGTAGGTACTATACCCATGAAAAATGTAAGCCAAATGTGTATAATCCTTGTTATGTTATGTTGAGAATGGGGTGTTAATACACTGCGACCTAAAAGATCTATTGTACTTCTTCTGTCCCAATGCACCAAGCAAATGTCTCAGTGCCTATAACGACCCTTCCAATCCTATTTTCTCAAGGAAGTGTAGAATTTGAAGTGGCTTCAAGTTAGGTAAATCTCCCTCTTCTATTTGATATCCTCCTAGATATAGTGCCCTTGGATTCTGGAGTGCTACACATTCAGTTAGGATGTGAATGGAGGTTTCGTCCTCCTCCTCACAGAATCTGCACTCACTATCCTTACTACTCTCAGTTTACTTAGGTGTCCTTTTAGTCGGCAATGCCCGGTAAGGATCTCTGTTACAATACGTAGCCTGTTCTTGCTCAGGCAGATGCAAGCTTCCGATCTTTTATGGTTATATTCACCCAGAAGTATCTTGACCTGTCTCAGCCCCCAAGAGATTGTTCTAATTATCGGTTCTTCTACTGCCCAATTCTTTTTTAATCTCTCCTAATATTATGTTACTGATGATACCGCAGAACGGCTCAGGTCCTACAAAGGGTGTTTAAGCCCCTTTCCTTGCAAGACTATCTGCAATCTCGTTACCCCGTACCCCGTTATGTCTCGGGACCCAAGTGAGAGTAACTCTATGTTTCTCGCCTAGCTCATTCAATTGTTCTAGGCATCTCCAGACCATTTTTGAGCTGATTACGTAAGAGCTCAGCGCTTTGATGGCAGCTTGACTATCGGACATGATGATAATCTTGTCTATGATAGTTTCTCTCGATGTTATACTGGATACACTTCTCGATGGCGTAAATTTCCGCCTGGAAGATGCTTGGATATTTTCCCAAGCTTTCGGAGTGCTTGGTTCTTGGCCCATACACTCCTGTTCCAGTTCCTTCTATGGTTTTTGAACCGTCCGTATACCACTGAATAGCACGTCTTTCGGTTGCAAGCGCGATGGATTCTTGGCTCCATTCTTTCTTACTCTGTGGTTTTTCACAAAACTGTATTTCATCCCGTTGACCCAGGTATCTTTAGTCCTGAAGCAAGTAGATTTTCTTTGGATTACTCCATTCCTGATCATTCTATATCGTGTCCTTTTTGCTACATTCTCTATCATTAAATGTAGAGGGGTGAGGTTTAAGATCACCTCCATTGCTGCCGTAGGACAGGTTCTCATTGCACCAGTAATGCAAACACAGGCTAGTCTTTGTACTTTTGAGATATTAACTCTCGTAGTAGCTAAACTAGTTCTGTTACTAGTATAATCCTTGATTATGATCGTGTTTTGTTCTGACATCCGTTACGAATTGTTTGGACTTCTTAACAAAATAATGTCAGATCCTGAACGAGACTTTCCTTCTTGTAGAATCTCGGCAGACGGATCTTATCCCCACCATCGACGACTCACTCGTTTGACAAATGTTAGAATTTTCTAGGCTTATTCCAGAATCGGCGAGATGGCTGTTGACCAAAGACCGAAACGCAGAGGCCAAAAAGTTGATTCAGACCGCCGCCAAATACAACAAGGTGATGATCAGTGACGAAACGTTGGACGAACTCTTGGTCTCCGCCAAGCCGAAGGACAGCACAACGACGTCGATATTTCACGTGTTTAAGTATCCCAATATGCGGAAGAAAACGCTGATTATATTTTTCGATTGGTCAGTACGATTCTAGCTTATTCTTGGTAAACCGTAATCCGCCACCTAAATTTTAGGTTCGTCAACAACCTGACGTACTACGGCTTGTCTTGGAACAGTAACAACTTGGGAGGGGATCCTTACTTGAATTTCGTTATTTTGGGAGCCGTTGAGATACCGGGTTATTCGATATTACTGCTGTTCCTCAACAGATGGGGTAGAACGAAACTGATGTGCTGCTGCATGATGATAGCCGGGATAGCGTTATTGCTCACAATCGCTGTACCTGCTAGTAAGTGTAAAATAATTGCGGTCCAACTAGTCTTTCTTACTGCCAATTTATCATCCATTAAATTGGTCCTTCGAACCGAATTTTAATCTTTTTATTTGTAGATAAACAGTGGTTGACAATAACGTTGGCGATGATAGGAAAATTGTCGATAACTGCCAGTTACGGGGCCGTTTATATACTGTCCACGGAACAATTTCCCACCGTAGTACGAAACGCCGGGCTGGGCGCCGGATCTACAATGGCCCGATTCGGGTCGATACTAGCACCGTACATTAATGCGTTGGTAAGTCAACGTACTAAACTTTTTTCTGCGAAATTCTGTTGTTTCCCACGAATTTTGTTTACATTTTTCATGTACTATTTTTTTTTTTTTTTTTTTAGTCGCATGTATGGGTGCCTCTACCGTTGTTAGTATTTGGATCTGCGTCTCTAGTGGGTGGTTTAATGTCCTTAGTGTTACCAGAAACTTTAAATAAGAAATTACCAGAAACTATGGAGGAGGGAGAGTTGTTTGGGAAGTACGTACCTCGAATTTTAGCAATTTATCAAATGTTTAGACACGTTTAAGCTAAAACAGTTGCTACTTACATCCTTCAATTCGCTCTGGCGAATGACAACTCATGACACATGACAGCTTGCATATCTAGACTCTTAAATTTTATGAATCCTTTAAATCCATTCTGACAAATAATCGACCCAGTTTAAAATCTATTTTTGTTTATAGGAAGAAAAGAAAAAAAGAGATTGAAATAGATTTTGAAACTGTGAATAAAGTACCAAATGCAGCTGAAAATGGCGGCGTTGAAGACAGGCTAGTGCAGAACGGAGTTTCCTAGTATATTATTTAGTATATATATTTTTTTATTCAGAAATGTACCAATAAGTTATAAATCATTATTATCTAGCAGTTTTTTATATTATAAAATTTTATTTGTCCAGACGTTTTCGTTGTATTTTATATTAATTCGAATAAAAATATTTGTCTATAATTTTATTTTATTTCAGAAGAAAGTTATTGCTTTAATTTGCTACATTTTTATTCTAAAATATATTTTTAAATTCGATGGGTCAATCCATTATCAAACTGTCATAACGATCCCTGACAGCTGATAGTCAAATGTCAAATCCTGAAAGGGACAACTTGCAGATTAAACTGATTTGGTGTTTTTTCTGTCAAAAGGGCAAATATCAAATTACTGAGGCCATAAGGGGCCTCAGTACTGCATTCGTAACCAGGAAAAAAAATGTCTTCCGTATTTTAACACTTGTCTTCCATATATTTTTTACATGGGTAGGCTTAAGGGGTAAAGGACCCAAAAATATTTTTACAGAAACTAGAATGGTACTTAAAAAAACCTTGGCCAGGGCCATGTGAAGAAATTCTACGTAGTTTATCCTAAGTAACGTCAATGCTTCACAAACCTGAAAATTCAACAGCTTTTTTGGTAGTTGTTTAAAATCAAATCGTTTTAAATATTCTACAAATTAGGCATTACAAAGAAAATGGTTGCCTGTGGGTACTTATATGACAACCCTGTGGGCCTGGTGGATTTGACAGGATCAATGAAATAGATCGATTAACCATGTTTTTCAAAATAAATATAACTTCATGACTTAAAGTTAAAATGTAGGTAATTATATTTTTAATATATTCAAAGGCTAAAAATTGCTTTTAAAACATTTTTGCTAAACCGATTCTGATTAATGAGCACTTTCGAGGCAATATGGCCGTTTGATAATGCGTCCCGCTTTAAGCAATCTATATAACATTGGCTCTGTATTGTATCCCTCTAATTTAAACTATTGCTGGATTTTGAAAATTCGTATGTTATATAACATGAAATTAAATAGAAATCAATAAGAAACCAGAAAATAATCGTATCTATAGGGAAAGTAAAAGTTGGAAAGGCTTTTGGTAGGTAGAGAGGGGGTAAACGTCAATCCACGTCGGACGTCTTCGAGAATTTCGCAGTAATGTTTACCTGCCAGTGTCGTGTCATAGAATAAGTAATTTTAAATTGTTATCGGCGAAACCGGACAATCGCATGTATTTATGGACTATAAATAATTATGAAACATGTATTATAATATTCAAATCATAATTTTACAAAATTTCAACAGCTATTCACAATTTATTAAACTATTTACTCGAAATTGTTATTAACAACATCTATAAAATAATTGTGTATGCCAATGTATCGCATCCACTTCGGTGAGATCCGCAGCAAACCTGTCAATTTATGTGTATAAAGTGGGAGAACTGGCAAAAGCCTTTCCAACTTTTACTTCTGTTCTATAATACAGAGTTAGAACTATTTTTCTTATCTACTTGCGCGTCTAGCTATAAAATAGGTCTTTGAATCACACAGACATTTCTCTGAAATGTGTCAACTTTCCTGTCAAAAATTTTAAAACTGACGTAGCGAAAGTCAGTTTAGGTTATGTTTTTGTGCCAAGTTGTAAATGTAAATAACAAAAATGTTCGAATTAACAGATACTCAAAGTGAGTTTTCAACGTTCGATAATGACTGTTTTTGAATCTATTTATTTTTTTCAGAAATCGGTGTGGGGTTGTCTACGTTCGGCATATTTTTTATCTTTCTAGGTATCCTACTTTTGCTCGATAGAAGTTTGTTAGCTTTAGGAAATGTAAGTTTTTAGTTATTCGCGTTATTATTTTTTACTAATACGTTGGTTTTTCAGATATTATTCATATCAGGTTTAGTGGCTATAATAGGTAGACAAAGGACATTTTTGTTTTTCTTTCAAAGGCATAAATTGAAAAGGTCGCTAGCATTTTTTGGAGGAATACTACTAGTATTATTAAAATGGCCTCTAATAGGCATGTTGCTCGAACTGTATGGGTTCTTTTTATTATTTAGGTAAGTTCCAGTTCGAATAAAGGAAACAAAAACATATCCTTCAATATTTCTCTTATTTTTAGTGATTTTTTTCCCGTTGCCATAAATTTTTTAAGAAGAATACCAATTTTGGGTACTATCCTAAATTTTCCTGGAATAAGTTCAGTAAGTTCTTGAGTTTTTGATGGTTTAGTATACTCTTAACTGTTTTAATGTAATATTAAGATATTGACCTAAATAATTACATTTAAAAATGGAAATATAAGTGAAAAATTTAGCGAATAAATCAGAATATAGAAACAAAATACTTTTTAATTTCAGATAATTGATAGGATAACTGGAGATGCAAATAGGACCAGGGTGTAACCCACAGAAGAACATATTTGTAAACTATTTATTTTAACAAATTTTTCATGTTATTTTTTCATACATATACATTATAAAATTCCACGTCTTTGTAGTTTTAGTAGAAAAATACATAATTACATTATTTTGATATTCCAAATCCAAAGTCTAAGCTCAATTTGCCATGAAGTTAGTAGAATTAAAACATTGTGTGGTTAGAGAACACGTAGATATCTTTTTTATTGCCTCTTACTATGATGCTAAACGGTTACTCTATATAGTTTAAAAATTCAACAATTATAAAAGTTTGGTGGAAAAAATAATTTTTAAGAACTTCCAAACATTCAAAATGTATTTTCACAGAAACTATGAAATTTGTACATACAATTTTATCTTAAGGATCTTTTATAACGTCTTCTAACTAGAACACATCTTACAAAAACATTAATGAACATGCATATGCGAGTTTTGAAAATATTAAACGCACTGTTGCCAACTCAATAAAGTTCTAAAAAGGAAATTCAATAAAACTATTTTTTAAGTAACCACGACAATATGTAAACACCTATTTTGCATTGTTGACATCATTTTGTTTAGCCATTTATTTTTTAATTAATAATTATGCCCTCCCTAATTCACCCCCTTACGAGTGAATTTCAACCCCTAAAGCCGACTGAGCTTGTGTGGAGACCCATATACAGCACAAACACATTTCGGAATATTTCAAAATAGTTACATTGAAACATTTTTTTAAATTTTAATGTTGTATTAATATTACGGCACGTCCCAGAAACATTTTCAGAAGAAATCATATTTCTCTCCGGCAATGGCTTCCTATATGCTCCTAAATCATAACGAGAAAATTTCCGAATTACAAATTCTCAGTATATCATTTTTGAATCACTATTACCTGAATTGTTATATTTCTCGCACAATTTGGCAACTCGTGCTTGCGCCTGTTTGTGCTTTTGTTTAGGATTTTTTATAACATGAAATGACTAGATAGTCTTTCTACCAAACAATTAAAAAGAAGTAGAAAATTGAGGTTAGGTTTAAGTTTTTAAATGATAAATCATATTTATCAACATTCAAACTAATTTAAAACGTTGAAGTAAAGTAAAAAAATGGCTTCATCAGGAGACAAACGAGATAAAGTAAGTTGCTTTGTTTGATTAAACTTTACACACGAAAACTGATTTACTATCGGCTTTTCAGACCAACCAAAATGCAGATCAGAAAGAGAAAAAACGAAAGGAGTCGATTTTAGACCTTTCCAAGTATCTCGAAAAAACGATCAGAGTCAAATTCGCGGGCGGCAGAGAAGCCAGTGGGGTACTGAAAGGTTACGATCCGTTGTTGAATCTCGTCTTGGATAATACATCGGAATATTTACGTGATCCAGATGATCCTTACAAACTGGTAGAGGACACCCGACAGCTAGGACTAGTAGTTTGCAGGGGCACTAGCGTTGTTCTGATTTGTCCGATGGATGGAATGGAATCGATACAGAATCCTTTTATTTCTCAAGATTAAGGTGTTATTTTGTAAAATTTGGTATGAAAATGGGTATTTATGTATAATAGTATAAAGTTCACTCTCTACTGTTAACGTATACTAAATATACTTAGAAGACTTTCTAATCTATATCTAAGACAATCCAAAAAACTGTTAGATTTAAGATTTCCATTTAAAAACATTATGTTATTGGTTTTTTTATTTGGTTTAATATACCAACTTATTAAATTAAATATAATTTTTGATATATGTCTTTTCATACTTTTACATGCCAAAGAAAGCAGCAACCATTTAGGGAATTTTGTGTTAAAACAAGTCATACTTTTGTGCTAATTTTATGCTCATTTTTTAACTGACTTCAAAAAAGGAGGAGGTTCTCAATTCGTCGCAATATTTTTTTTTATGTATGTTCAGCGATAATTCTTTAACACGGTGTCCGATTTCAATGATTATTTTTTTGTTACAAAGGGGATACTTCAGGGGTGGTTCCATATAAATTTGGTCAAAATCTAATGAGAAAATCCTCAAACTTTTCATTGTTTATGTATGTTTAGCGATAATGCTTTACCACCTTGTCCGATTTATATGATTCTTTTTTTGTTAGTAAGGGGGTACCTAATACTTGTTCAAAAATCAAGGGCCAGCTTTGACTGAAAACACCACTGTTTTTAAAGTTTTTTTTTTTTTATTTCTAAAAATAACTACTTACACCATAGTAAGTAATTTTCTATGGCATCAAAAGAATTGTTTTTTTTTTTCTTAAACAACTATACCTCTATGCAATATTATAAAAAAAACTCTGAAAAAAAAATGACCCCATAAATAAACAGATACAATATTCTCATATGAGGATTAAGGACTGTAAAAGTTTGTGTGTTATGCTCATTATATGACAATTTAGAAAATTGTTTTGTGGAAATGAGCAATCATTCTAACAAATCAAAGAATCTAATCCAATCAAAATAGCTTTATTTTATGAAGATTTACATCTCATTGACAAAACAAATAACATATAAAAAAAGAAAACATAAAATATGCAATTTAAAAGATACAAGAGTATAGTAATAATACATGAATAAAATAAAACAACAACAATTAATAATAACTAGTGTTTGCCCAGTGGTCGAAATTTGACCATAATCATTATTGAAAATCAACTCCTATAGAGAACCATGCAAACAGAATGTTATGTTATGTTGATAATGGGGTAATACACTGCGACCTAAAAGATCTATTGTGGTCCCTTCTGTCAAAACTGCACTAAGGAAATGTCTCAATGCCTATAGCGACCCTTCCAATCCTATTTTCTCAAGGAAGTGTAGGATTTGAAGTGGCTTCAAGTTAGGTAAGTCTCCCTCTTCTATTTGATATCCTCCTAGATATAGTGCCCTTGGATTCTGGAGTGCTACACATTCAGTTAGGATGTGAATAGAGGTTTCGTCCTCCTCACAGAATCTATACTCACTATCCTCTACTACTCTCAGTTTACTTAGGTGTCCTTTTAGTCGGAAGTGCCCGGTAAGGATCCCTGTTACAAAACGTAGCCTGTTCTTGCTCAGGCAGATGCAGGCTTCCGATCTTTTTTGGTTATATTCACCCAGAAGTATCTTGGCCTGTCTCAGCCCCAAGAGATTGTTCCAATTATCGGTTCTTCTACTACCCAATTCTTTTTTAATCTCTCCTAATATTATTTTACTGCTGATACAGCAGAACGGCTCAGGTCCTACAAAGGGTGTTTGAGCCCCTTTCCTTGCAAGACTATCTGCAATCTCGTTACCCTATACCCCGTTATGTCCCGGGACCCAAGTTAGAGTAACTCTATTTTTCTCGCCTAGCTCATTCAATTGTTCTAGGCATCTCCAGACCATTTTTGAGCTGATTACGTAAGAACTCAGCGCTTTGATGGCTGCTTGACTATCGGACATGATGATAATCTCTTGTCTATGATAGTTTCTCTCGATGTTAAACTGGATACAATTCTCGATGGCGTGAATTTCCGCCTGGAAGATGCTTGGGTATTTTCCCAAGCTTTCGGAGTGCTTGGTTCTCGGCCCATACACTCCTATTCCAGTTCCTTCTATGGTTTTGGAACCGTCCGGATACCACTGAATAGCACGCCTTTCGGTTGCAAGCGCGATGGATTCTTGGCTCCATTTTTTCTTGCAGCCCAGCTCTGTGTTTTGAAGTTTTTCACAAAACTGTACTTCTTTTGCATTTCATCCTGGGGCATGTCCCAGGTATCTTTAGTCCTGAAGCAAGTAGACTTTCGTCTGATTACTCCGTTCCTGATCATTCTATATCGTGTCCTTTTTGCCACATTCTCTATCATCAAATGTAGAGGGGTGAGGTTTAAGATCACCTCCATTGCGGCCGTAGGACAGGTTCTCATTGCACCAGTAATGCAAACACAGGCTAGTCTTTGTACTTTTGAGATATTAGCCTCGTAGTAACTAAACTAGTTCTGCTATAGCCCCGTAAGTGATGATTGGTCTCACTATTGCAGTATACATCCATCGCAGTATGTTTGGGTTACATCCCCATCGTTTACCCGCAATGTTTCTGCATACCATTAGGGCTTTTGTGGCCTTATTTACTACTTCCTTCTCATGTGTGTTCCAGAGAAGTTTGTTGTCCAGGGTTAGGTCTAGATATGCAAACAGAAATTAGATTAGAAGAAATAGAGTCAAATCAAATATTAATTTCCAAAATGTCTAAAAAATTTGAAAAAATAAATTATATAATTCAATGTATCTACATCCTGCAACATAATCTGAAATAAAAAAATTTGATCAATGAACTAAAGGTTAAAAAGTCACCAGGACATGATAAAATTAGATCTGAGACTCTAAAAAACATGTGAAGAAGTTTCAACAACTTTGACTTACCTAATTAATAATTGCATGGCTGCAAGTTGTTTCCCAAATATTTTCAAGGTAGGTATTGTTAAACCGTTACAAAAAAAAAGGGAAAAGCCAGAGATGTCAAAGTATGGACCCATTTCATTAATATCAAATATAGAAAAGGTTGTTGAAAAAGTTCTTAAAAAGAAAATCGTAAATTTTTTAGATAAACATGATTTAATTTCAGTGTCAATATGGCTTTAGGGTAAGTAATACCATAGAACTTCATATATACGCCAAAAATTAGATAAAAATACGCCAAGTTTATGTATATTTGTGAACTTGTCAAAAGCTTTTGATACGGTCTCTCATGTGAAGCTTCTTGAGAAAATAAGGTCATACGAATTAAGAGGCAAAGTGAATTAATTTCAAGTTATTTTTCAGACCGAGTCAAATATGTGGAAATTAATAGTGTCGTTAGTGAGCATGAATCGGTCTCTTGTAGTGTTCCTCAGGACACAGTATTGGGCCCATTATTATTTCTTTTATATATAAATAGTTTGTTGAAGCTCAAAACCACAGGAAAGGTTACGACTTTCGCAGACGACACTGCAATTCTTTACTAGCACTCGAATTGGAGTGATTTAAAAAGTCAAACGGAAAAGATTTTAAGAAAATAAAATTATGGTTTCAACACAATCTTCTTACTCTAAATATTGAAAAAACGCAATATTTGCCACGATGGAGCGAGCTGAAAATACCTTAAATTTATTGGTATATTTCAATTTTACTCACAACGGAGGCGACTTAAAATACATATAATGATTTATTTCCTTGCAGAGTTCGCTATTTCCTTAGGTTTTAATAAAACTACATAATTTGACTGAATATATTTTATTAAAACTACTGAAACAACAAAACAAATTCTTAAAAACCACGAAAAAATTAATTTAACCAGCAAAAAATAAGCTTTATCAACTCAACTTAGAATATCCTTGACGTTTATCTGTCGTCTTCTTAAAACCTCAACTTTTGAAATTTTTTTATAAATCTCATCTTGTTTAACTATTTAACTATTGCTGGATATATATATAAATTCCAGTTTGTTGCTTTGTCTTAAAAATTTACATACATAGGTTTGATTCTCTTCAACACTTACTACTTTAGCAACATATTTAGTATTATTTTTGTCTGTTTTCATATTTACCAATACATAGTCATCACAATTGAAATCTACAGTAAGAGAGGATCTAAATTTTTATTATTATCTAGGTGTTCATAATCGGAAAATGTTTCTATATCATCATCACTATCTGCCGTTAAAACTCTATCGTCAATATCGCTCTCTGAAGAAGTATCAGATAGAACAGGCTTTTTCTTTCTCTGCCTTCATAGATATTTCAGTTTGTGCAGTGGACGTTAAAGAGACTTGTAGGTCATTTTGCGATATGCTTTTCCTGCTACATTTCATTTCTTTTTCTGAACTTTAGGTGTTTTCTCCGAACCAAACCGTGCTTTAACAACAAAAACATCTTTTAATGATTCCATCATCTCGGTCTGTTGTGCGTCTACTATTTCGCTTTTAGGTAGTTTCTCTAAAATTATGTCTGTTCATTGATACCAAACCAGTGGTTCAAATCCAGATATATTTTTGTATTAGTTGAATCGATCTTCTTCAGAGCCTGATTTAATAATCAAGGAAATATATCTTTTCTAATTACTCCCTTGTTGTGTTTTTTATACGACCCAAGGATTTCTCTCCATTCTCCTTTAACTAACATCTAACGGTTATTGTGTCATATGAGCAGGGCCACCGAGAGCCAGGTCGGGGCCCGGGACATTTTTCTAGGTCAGACTAGGACAATTTTATAAAAAGCACTTTCAATATCACATTAAAAAAAAGTGTAAAAACTTCTCCTCCTCTTTAGTGAAAATCTCTAAAAAAAAAAAAATTCCTCAAGCAAAAACTTTTTAGTGAAATCTCTAAACTAAAAAAAAAGTCCTGTGCTCTTATCGCGAATTTCTTAAAAAATAAGAAACGTCTTCACTAAAACTGCCGGGCCCCCCCTTATACCGCTTCCGGGATATGAGTGCTGTTTGGTGGCAATAATATAAAACGAATATTATTCTTGCTTCGCACTGTGTTATAATATTTAATGATATGTGGCTCCCTAAGATGTCTCCAATAGCACCAACATAGCGCGGAGGTGCTCCATCTTGCTGGAAATGAAACTGATTTGGGTCTTTCTAATATTTCTGTTATAAGAGGGTCAATTTCATCTCTGAGCATGTTTAGGTACACTTCACCAGTTAAATTTCCAGGAATGAAAAGTGGTCCTACAATATGGTTACATATGCCACACCAGACATTTATTTTTTCAGGGTGTTGGGTATGATACTTACGGAATAAATGAATCGGTTATTTGAGAAACAGCACACGTCAGTTGTAGATCATTTTTCAAAAAATAAGATTAAAATTCTTATTATTCTAAAAAGAGAATGGCTAAAGGCTAAATGCCCTTTCCTGGCAGCTGTTTTGCTCACTATATGATCCCTAACCTTACCTCCTACCTTTCTTTATAGAAATTTTAACACAAATACAGATGTGTTTATATCTGTACTGTATATAATTTAGTGTAGCATTGGCCTGGCATGTTCTTTTGTTTTACTAACCTACATGCAAGACATATGAATCAGTAGTGGATCAAGCGCTCATGAATGAGGATTCGTCGTAAACAGGAACAAAAAGATGCTTTAAACATCATGAATGATAGCAACATCCTTTATGTACCTGCCATCGATGATTCAGTGTAAGATAAGCCTATAAAACTCGCTTATGAACGTTTTATTCCAAATTTTTTAGTGTTCAAAACTTTAAAGCGTTTTTCCCACAACTCATGTTTCCAAAGTCGGTGCCCCTCGTAACTTCAAAACTACTGCACCTATCCTTTTGAAATTTTGAACACTAGTTCTGTACCTAATTTACGAGGTAACGCTGGAGAGTTTTTTTCAAATTTGTTAATATTTTTTTATTTTATAATAACAAATTAGCCTATTTTTTTTTTCGCAAGAATCGCGTTTTTTTATTTTAAAGTGTTCCCAAAAAGTGAAAAATTGAAATTTCGGAAAACCCTTCCAGCGTTACCTAGGGAAAACGATTATCTAACGAGAGAACTTTGATTTTTTTATTTCTGATGATCCAGCACCGAGATAGGAGGGGCACCGCAATTTTACTTTTTTTCGAGACGCTTCCGAATAATTGCTACCATTTCCGTATTTTTTAATATTTCTTCATGAAAATTTGACACAATATTCTTTGAATATTATACTTTAGTGTACCATTAGTTTAAATAAACAGATTTTAACTGTGTCGTCAAAAAAAATTCGCAAAAATGTGCCTTTTTTTTGTACGAATTAACCTTACCATCCCCCCCTTGAATTTCCGGAAAATATGAAAGGCTAGGTGCCTAATTTTCGCCCCCAAGAGGGCACTAAAATCGAAATTTGACACAATAACAATATTGGCATTACTGAATTTCTTAAAAAATTACCTTTTCAAAAATTTGCCACACTTAGTACTTTCCCTATCTAAATTCTAGGGGTTGTTCACCCCACTGGTCGAGGGTTGAAGTGTCAATGATGCAATTATAGGAAAAAAATGTGCCCCCCTCCAAATAAAAATCGACTTGTCCGATCATTTCTTCTTTAAAGCTGAAGGAACCAAGAAAGGGGGGTGTGGATACTTTTTATTGGACCACACTGTATGTAAAACAAAAATTGAATAAACTCTATTGTTAATTAAGTTTGTATGGATGCTTGCAACTTGCATTATTTTAATTGTTAGAAAGAGTACGTCTGGTCACCCTAGTACTATGTAACTTCATGGGGAAGTTTACCTGGTTTAGGTATATAACTTCTTCCACATCGTTTGGTACGTACTTTAGTCTAAACGACGCATTGATTGGTCATTTTGACAATAGCTTTCAGTTCAAATCCCGGTTGCTTTTTTCGGATTTATGTTTACAACATATTTCTATATTATTCTTAAATTTTCATGCATTTACTTGTTCTTCAATAATTATTTAAAATATATTAAAAAAAGTTAATTGCCTAAAAACAGATTAAACTTTAATTTGCACGTAGAGATGACTTTTAAAAATAAACAATTTATTTTTAAACGACATCTTTCTGATACAACATTTTATTAACTGTTTTTAATCAGAGGTCAATTGTAGTAGATTAGTTTTATATATTAAAATTATATAATAATATACACTCTTATTTTTTGACAATATTTTTGCATCAGTCCTTTTTTACGCAGTACCGACAAATTTGGGCGAGAAGGAACCAGTATAATATCGTACTTTTTTGACATCAATAAGCTGCCTCTGTGCCATAAAAAACCCGATGCAAGTTACGGGATCATCTCGCGTACCACCTGCAACGTCGCCAAAATCGAACCACTCGATATTTTTATCTTTTGTTTTCGATAACTTTTGATCCATGAACTCAATTAACCCATTTCTGTCATTAACATCTTTATCTTTCTTGAAACTAATGTAAACAATGTGTTTTATTATTCACTCTTGTAGCAGTTAGCAGTTCATTAGAGAGCTCTATCTAAGCCTAACAGCAACCGTTCTACTGTCCCCTGTGCGATATCGCTTTGATTTTTTTGACCTGGAAAATATCTGCCTGTATGTTCTGTAAAGTTATCGAAGAATTTGTGGATTTGGATGCCTATTTCACATGTAAGTTTCGACTATTTTTAAGACAGTTTTCATGGCTCCTATGATCGGCCATGATGGGAATCATTGATCCCATCATTTTGGGCTGTCATTCACACTATCGCCAATGTTCATTTACTCTCTGTCCATTGTTCAAAATTGATGAGTTGAATCCAGCTACTGTCATTTATGTGTTTTGTGCATAATCATCACATAAATGTTAGTAATAACATTAAAAAAAGGAGAAAAAGAAAATGGTGGCTGCTGGCTGTCATTGTAAACTTTGTGATTTTTAAATTTAGAGTCCCAAATCGTTTTCTTGGATTTATGCAGTTCTATAAATTCAAACGATTGATCGTTAGGGTGTGTACCGTAAAGTGGGGTTACTTTGCACAAAATTTTTGTTTTTTTTTAATATCTATAGTTCTGTTGGGAATTATAAAGCCCACTCTAACTATATGAAAATTTAATACTTTGGCTACATAGATTTGTAATTAGAAAGCATAAAAACAGTTAGAACCACATTTTTAAAAGTTTAAAAAGTTGATAAAGTTACCTCGACTTTGGGGTTACTTTGGCGTCTGACATGTTTGCACGTTTTTAAGCGTACAAGCCAAGTTAACAGTCTAGAAGAGTTACTTTACCCTCCTTTAATGTGTTTAAAAAAATATTTTAATAAACATAATTCATTTTTACATTAAAAATGTATATTTCTAAGAAAATAAAGGAACATTTACCTCTTTGAGTCAACAAACAACTCTTATAAAATAATAATAATAATAATAATAATAATAACTCTTTGGTAAAATAATAATAACTCTTAGGTAACAAAATAATAAGAACATAATTCTTAAATATTCTAAGTAGGTAGATATTAGGAAAACAAAAATTGTTTTGTGATTTTAGTCTTAAAAACTTTACATTACCGCAGTCTTTTTCTTTGTCAGTAACTTGCGCAACAAAATGCTTGTATTGTTTTTTCCCTAAAAGTGCTACAAGTAGAAAATCAGAATTTTTAACTCCTGATTTTGATTCATCTTCAGTCTTGCTAGTTACAATATCACGAGAGCAATGGACTTGAGGCTCGTCATTGCAGTCATCAGTCTTTTGGAAATCCTTCGACTTCATCTAATTCTAAATTGTCCTCAGATTCACTTTCAATAGTTCAGTCATATTCTTCAGTTTCTTTATTTACTTTATCACGTTTCATTTCTTTGGGAATACTTGTCGTGAAATCCTCACTTGCAACATATTTGCCAGGTTCAATTCTTATCATCTTCTTTCTTTTTGGGGTGCTTGATTTTGAAGGAGCTCTACTTTCTTTAAGGAAATCCAACAAGGTCTCGCTAATATCAGTGTTGGTTCTATCAAATCTTTTATTAGTCATTCTATTAAGAACCTCCTCTCTGTTACATGGGTATATTCCCGTTGCTCTAAATTTTGAATGATTTGTTCTTCTTGTTAATTTTATTCAATGAGGTTTTTCAATAAATGATGAAGAGTGCTTTTGTTTACTGTACTGTCTCGTGGATTTTTGGTTTTGTAGGTTGTTGTTATACGGCGCCAAACTACCTTCAAGGGCTCACATTTGTGTCAAATGTGTTGAATTTGAGGGTAGAAAGATAAATCTAATATTGTTTATTTGACACAATAATTGTTATGTTTAAATGACTCGATAGATTATCTCCGATTAGAAGTTTCGGCCCATTAATTTTTTGGCCCACGGTATAATAATTTGTGCAAACCAGTCTTCAAATGCATACTGATCAAACCACCCAGATTTGGTTCTATTATAACGAGTTCCAGGGGTTTCCCCCGATACACCAGGAATCAAATAATCTCTCCGCCTTATACACAACATATGGGGCAAATAAAGTTACATCTGCAGCGGCAGCAAACATGACGAATATTGAGGACTTTGTTGAGTTCATAATGCGTTCAGGGTATTTAATCCCTCTTCTAAAAATACAGTTTGACGATCCAGAATCGTCTGTCAGATTGGTCTCGTCGTAGTTAATGATGGAACCAGGTGGAATTTCTGCCACATTTATTTCTAAATTATCAAAGTAATTGTTCATTTCCTCATCTGTTGTCTCAGCTCTTGCTTTTTTAATGTTTTGGCACTGTCTGTTGGATAATTTATGTTTGTGTCTATGAATAAAATTCTTACACCAGTCTACACCTGGTAAATTTTCTTTGAACTTCTTTAGGCAGATACCTTCTTTGTCTAAATGACTCTTCAACACTACTCGCAATTCTGTCATGGTTAGGGGGCAGCCATATTCGGAGCTGGCTATTATAACGTCGACAATGGACCGTTCAATCTCCAGGGAGATTATCTGAGGTGCTCCAACAGGACCTATATGTTTTTTTTAACTTTATTTACTAGGGTTATTATACGGAATTTTAAAGAGTTAGAAAAAGATACGCTGGCAAGTCAGAATATACGAAAATCGTATATATAATTATACGCAAATAGGCAACACTGCTAAAGCCTGTTGATCGCGTAGTATTTTGCCGCCAACTGCATTAGAGCAGCGTTGCCAGATTTACACAAAAATAATTTTTTAGTTTTTTAAGCAAAGTTGCCCCGGCTGGCAAAGTAACCCCACTTTACGGTACATGCCGGAGATGCATCAATGAGCGATGATTGATGACTGATAGGTGATAATAATAATACTCTCCCTACTTCTTATACGAACGTATAATTAGAGTACTTTTTAGTAGTGATATGAAATACAGGGTGTTAAATTTAAAAAAAAATTGAGAAAATCATGTATCTGAATTTTGACTCACCCTGTACAAGTCTGTTGCGTTAGGAAAAAATTAGTATAGTCTTATAAAAGTAGACTATCCACTCGTGTGTGAACATGAATTTACCTTTCTGTCAAATATGTCAGATACATCATTTTTTCTATTTTGATCTAATAGTAAAATCGATTAGATTATTAACTTTTTAACACTGATTTTTTATGCCTATATTCTAGATATTTATTTTTTACAATTATTAAAATAATTTAAAAGAAACTACATCATTTTTTTTTCTGGTTAATCCACATAATTTGATTAGATAATTCACTTCACATTAGCCTTCATGGCTCAGATCAATGGGTGTTCAACTATATGAACTTTGGATTTCGCGATGCGGGGTCAAGTTCCGATAAAAGCAATTTGATTTTTTTATGTCGCCAAAATATGAAAATTTAAAAAATACGACTACTTATTGTTATTTATTTATTTTAGTTACATTGTATTTATCGTTTAAGCATCATCTTTAATGATAAAAACGTTCTTGTTCACGGTTGTTTATCTTATTATTTATTGCATTTAAAAATATAGACTAATGAAAAATATTATATTTTAATATTTTTTAGTAGGGTAGTGGCACCAGTTATGGACACTTTTAGAGATAATTTAAACATAATTGCCTGAAACTGCCACAGTAAAAGTTTTGTTTTAATCATACACATACCAAAATTAAGCTTATATATTATTTTTACCTATGTTATAGCAGTAGTTTTTCTTAAATCACGTTAAGTATGTAATAATTAATTTAATTTTTACATATACATTTTCGCCAGAAATGGACAGTCGTTTTTTTCATAAATCCTAATTTGGACACTTGTAGAACCATTAATGGACATTTTTTTTTGTTTTATTACTATTCTGTTTAAAACATGATAAATTGATATTTATAATTCAAAAAATAATTAGGAATCTATAAAAGAATAAAATAAAGAATAAACACATAAACGTATACAAAATAATATAATTATTATCGATTTAAATTTAAAACAAGAAAATAATATCTTGGTAAATAAATAAATGAGATAAATGACTTTTATAATCATTAATATTCTTCTTCGTCCTCACTGATGATCTCATGTTCATCACTAGTATCAATAGTGATACCACAACATTTTTCGCATACAAACTGTTCGTCCTCTTCAGAATCTGCGTAAGTATTTCCAAGGCTATTATATACTTAAGAGGAACACAAATTTTATGAACCTTATTTGGGCAGTTAATACATGAAAGTCATTTAGCTTTCCTCTATAATACATGCTGGTCCTTCCATGCTGTTTGGCACTTATAACATTTCCAGTTTAACAGCATTCTAAAATCTTTACCCTTTGTTTGAGTTTTCTTTTTTACGCCTTTTGGTTTTTTGACTTGTAGTTTTGTTTCTTTTTGTTTTTCTTCTCTTGCTCTTTTCCGGTTTTGTTTTTCTTGTTCTTTTTCTAATTTAAGTGCTTCTTTCTTTTGTTGTTCATGCAACCAAAAATCATATGTTATAACTGAACGTGGTTTTTCCCTCATTTTTTTCTGAGGCATTTGTTCTTCCTTAGCCCAAAAAAGATATTTTTTAAATGGAGATTTACCAGAGTGCTGTGTTCCGTTAACGACAATTTCTTGGCAATGTGGTTGAAAATAAGCATTACTTATAGAAGGATTAATTGTTTTTGAAGGCTTTGCATTATCGGGAGTTTGTTGGTTTTTCTTTTCAAATGTTATGGCAGCATGAACTTGATGATATTCTTCTGGGGTTATGTGGTTTTTATCAGCTGTAATATGTAAATCCTCAATTACTTCTTGCCAGATTTCCTGTGAAACTTCTTCAGAGGGTTTAGTAACTTCTTGAGGAACGTGTTCTTCATTTTGGGTGTCTTCGTGGGTGTTATCGTCGATTTCTAATGAGAAGTTTAAAGATGTGTTTATGTCAATTATATTACCATTTTTCTGAGACTATTCAATTTTTGAATTCTTTTCCAGGTATTAAACAAGTCTTTTGTTGACTCCGGTCCACTCCATTCGTCTTCTAAAATGTGTTCCTTCATAATTTGAAGAACATTTGCTGAAATATTAGCTTCCAAAACCTTTAAGCAGTTTTTAATGTCATCGTTCATCACGTTATCTTGCTTATTGGTATCGTCTGCTTCTTTTGTGTGTTGTTTGTGTAATATTTTGGAGTAATCCACGTTGTTTGCATCAAAGGGATAAAGGCCACAAACTCGAAACCCATTTTAAATTGTATCCGGAGACATGGCATCTTTTAAAATAGTTTCTAGTAGTTTGGCAACATGATGTCTCATCAATTGCTGGTTTTCATTTTCAGTGAGCCATTTTCTTACATGAATTTTCCATTTACTTTTTAGTGGATAAAAGACTGCCACATCGAGAGGCTGCATTACATGGATAGCATTTGGAAAAAATGCTACTAAAATAATTTCTTTTTCACGCAAAAACATACTGAGGTGTGTCCGTCGACAAAAAAAATTACAGGGCGTTCGATGTTATTTTCCGTTAGCCATGGTTCAAATATATTTGCCATGTATTCAAAAAAGACTTCGCCAGTCATCTATCCTGATTCCGATTTTCCTAAGCCCCAACCTTTGGGAAAATTTTTGGCAATTTCTGGCGTTCTCTTGTATGGATAAACTACCATAGGAGGCGCCATGTCTCCGGATGCTGCAACTGTAATCAATACTGTGAGGTTCTCTTTTTCTGAAGTTCTTGAAACATCGTATATATTTTTAATTCCCTTTGGGGCCAAAACTTTGCCAGTTTTAGGGCATAAGGAAATTGCTGTCTCATCCAGCATTAAAAATGCGATCTCCATTTTCTAAAATATAATAGTAATCATTTTCCTTTAAGTAACTGGAAACTTCTTTAAACCAGTTACGTATATCGCCTTCAGTAAGCTTTCCACGGTAGCTTGTTAGCTTTTCAGGTGTTTTTAGGGAAATATTTGGATGTCTCATTAAAAATGACAAACCATTTTTTCCCTGGAATACCGTCAGAAAATGGATTCTTACGGCCTAACTCTTTTATAAGTTTTGCTACTGTATCAGTTAAACACTGTTTTGTCACGGGAAAGCCGGCCCTTGCAATATCAACAATCCACGTTACAATACGGCCTTCCTCCTCAGTTGATAAAATCGTTGGAGGTCCCATATTGCAAATTACGGGACTGATGCCTTTTAGTTTATTTCGCAAAGTTATGCGTGGAACACCGAATCTTTTACTTGCGGTTGCAATGGGAATGCCTGTCTTTGCTGCGACTAATGCTTCTGTCATATTTTCAATGGTATATTTCCTAAATTTCTTTTTATCCATTATGATGAAATCTGAAAAAAATTAATGAACCAATCATGGACATACCCAATTATCCCTAAATGGACATTATGTCCAACACTGGATTTCTTTTTAACAATTTACTGTTATTTATATTAATCAACAGCATTTTTTATAGCCATTTAAACTCAACTAAAATCAACTGAAAGACATTTTTTTCCTTAAATGGACATGGCGTCCTCTGTTAGCAGAAATCGCAAACAAAACATAAAACTATAACTTAACAAAAGATATTAACTTATTTACAGGTATCTTCAATTCACAAGTATCTTAATACCAGGCACTAAATTGTAAAGTGTCCATTACTGGTCCCTTGTCAAAGACTGGTGCCACTACCTTACCTAAAATTATTTTACCTTTATCATCATCATCACATGAAAGTGTTTGTAAATGGAATCACAATATTTTTAATTTCGACAAAACACCATTCATAAAACAAGTATATTAAAAATAAATCTAGCAGCTACATCTTCATTGAACCCCCATAGTCAGATTTTCTAGTTTTACAATTTTTTGATGAAATAAATTCGTGATATTAGGAAAAATATTATACATCACTTGTGTTTTTCCACACAGTAATATCCTATTATTGATTGTTTTATTAAAATGTTGCTTAATGAAAATACGATTTTGTGATTAGTCACAGCCTGTTTTTGTAATGAATGTATTATTTATTTAATATTTTTAGAAAAAATTGAATCAAAACCACATTCTCAACTTGAGATACAAAGCATTAATTATTTATTAATTTTACGTAAACAAAAACATATTTATTTTCTATAGTAATAGAATAATAACATTATAGCCCAATCGAATTAGGTGAAGAACAGGCTTGAGATTCTGAAAAATTGGAAGCAGCAATTTTCCTTCGGAATTCGTTGGAGGGGGTCTCTGGTAGTCTAAATTCAAAAAGTTGGGATTCCAAAGTTGTCGCTACCTCCGCCATCTTGATTTAAAGGGTTATTTTTTGTATCTTGAATAACTCATTTATTTTCAATTTTACAAGGAAAATAGTTTTTACAAAAGTTATTTAAAATTAAATTTCCTACAATTCTGCTTTTTTTTGTACGATCGATTTTTTCGATTTAAACCCGAAAAGAGGGGGTGAATTTTTGGTTATAGAATAACTCGTTTATTTTCAATTTTACGAGAAAAATTGTTATAAACAAAGTTGTTTAAAATTAAATTTCCTACAATTCTGCTTTTTTTTGTACGATCGATTTTTTTCGATTTATACCCGAAAAGAGGGGGTGAATTTTTGGTTATAGAATAACTCGTTTATTTTCAATTTTACGAGAAAAATTGTTATAAACAAAGTTGTTTAAAATTAAATTTCCTACAATTCTGCTTTTTTTTTGTACGATCGATTTTTTTCGATTTATACCCGAAAAGAGGGGGTGAATTTTTGGTTATAGAATAACTCGTTTATTTTCAATTTTACGAGAAAAATTGTTATAAACAAAGTTGTTTAAAATTAAATTTCCTACAATTCTGTTTTTTTTCTGTACGCTCGATTTTTTGTATTTACCCCTGAGAAGAGTGGGGGTAAACTCTTATCATTGTATTATCACGTTTCTTTTTAATTCCAGGTATCAGCAAAAAAAAACAAACAGAAAAAATAACGGTACAACATCAATAATAAACGTGACAATACAATACTTAGGTTCACCCCCACTCTTCTCAGGGATAAATACAAAAAAATCGATCGTACAAAAAAAAACAGAATTGTAGGAAATTTAATTTTAAACAACTTTCTTTATAACAATTTTTCTCGTAAAATTGAAAATAAACGAGTTATTCTATAACCAAAAATTCACCCCCTCTTTTAGGGTATAAATCGAAAAAAATCGATCGTACAAAAAAAAAGCAGAATTGTAGGAAATTTAATTTTAAACAACATTGTTTATAACAATTTTTCTCGTAAAATTGAAAATAAACGAGTTATTCTATAGCCAAAAATTCACCCCCTCTTTTCGGGTATAAATCGAAAAAAATAGATCGTACAAAAAAAAGCAGAATTGTAGGAAATTTAATTTTAAACAACTTTGTTTATAACAATTTTTCTCGTAAAATTGAAAATAAACGAGTTATTCTATAACCAAAAATTCACCCCCTCTTTTCGGGTATAAATCGAAAAAAAATCGATCGTACAAAAAAAAGCAGAATTGTAGGAAATTTAATTTTAAACAACTTTGTTTATAACAATTTTTCTCATAAAATTGAAAATAAACGAGTTATTCTATAACCAAAAATTCACCCCCTCTTTTCGGGTATAAATCGAAAAAAATCGATCGTACAAAAAAAAGCAGAATTGTAGGAAATTTAATTTTAAACAACTTTGTTTATAACAATTTTTCTCGTAAAATTGAAAATAAACGAGTTATTCTATAACCAAAAATTCACCCCCTCTTTTCGGGTTTAAATCGAAAAAATCGATCGTACAAAAAAAAGCAGAATTGTAGGAAATTTAATTTTAAATAACTTTTGTAAAAACTATTTTCCTTGTAAAATTGAAAATAAATGAGTTATTCAAGATACAAAAAATAACCCTTTAAATCAAGATGGCGGAGGTAGCGACAACTTTGGAATCCCAACTTTTTGAATTTAGACTACCAGAGACCCCCTCCAACGAATTCCGAAGGAAAATTGCTGCTTCCAATTTTTCAGAATCTAAAATACTAATCCGATTGGGCTATTATAACAATAATACGAATAACTTTGTTTTTCTTCATCAACAGTTTGTCAAGGCATAAAACTGAAAACGAGAAAGTTTTTCGAAGATTACTGTCCATGTGAGTATTAATATAATTTTTTTATCTAATATGTTTTTACTTACAGCTGCATATTTCACATTAATAAATAATAAAGAGCAATCCACAAAGAATGTTTTTAAAGTAGGCCATCATGACCGATACAAAGACAGATACAAGTCATGTCAGTGAAAACTATGCGCGATTCTGAAATAAATCCAAACTGACACTTAAAAAGAAGAAGAATTGTACGCTTGACATGCGTGAATTTTTCCAGGGTCTAATTTAGAGACATTTTTTGTAGATCTTTCCTTATAGGATGTATTATCCAGGCCTCAAAACAAGTTAGTCTGTCACTGTTGATATGCTAACGGCTAATTTACCAAATCAAATACAAAATAATATTTTTTTATTGATTTGATGATAAACGGAAAATCTCCAGTCGGTGAATGAACATTATGGAACTTTACTTATATCCTTTGAAAGGTTTGGTTTCTTAAAATAATTTTGTATGCCTAAACCTTAAAACATATCCTTCTGATACTATTTTCAAAGTCTACTATTAACTTTATTTATTTACAATTAATTTTATATCTACTTATACATGTATTGTATTTTATATCAAGAAACAGTATAAACTTATTCAAAAAATAATATTAACATGGTTAATTTCAATGGACAGACATATAACTAAAAATTTATTTTTACCCTTACACAAGAAGTCTCACTAAAGAGAGTAAGTTTAGTAATTTGGTATTGTCTTTAAATTTTCCATCGCCGCTCAAATTACTTGGCGCCGGGTTAAATAATCATTTTCTTTAAATTTGTATATGAACCACCCCATATACTGAGCTGAGCTAGGCACTTATAACTGTTATTATTTGATGCAGCAAAAGAAACGTAACATATTTCTCTTTAATTCATTTCTAAGTTTATTTTTGAATGACGTATATTCGTCTTTTAATAAAATATTTTCAGGATGTAGGATCGTTTTTTTATACATTTTATTCTTTTTATTAATTAACTTTAATAGGCTATTTGTGAGCCATGGTGCAAATCTAGTGTTTTTTCGTGTACATAGTTTTTTGTAGTTCAATGTTTTATCATTGTTTTAATTTCCGTAATAAAAATATTTTCTGCAATATTTGGGTCCTCTAGTGTGAACATAGAGTCCCACGAATTGTTCTTAAATAATTCTATAAGTTTAGGGTAATCTATGAATTCTTTGTATTTTGTGATAATTGATTTTTTTCTTTCATCCTCAAAAACGACTTGCAGAATAATTGAATCATGATCAGTAATGTTTGATTTAAATATTATTGGGATGGTCATATCAATCGACTCATATTTTTTTGGTTTAAGGACAATGTGGTCTTTACAAGTTTTTTTGTCTAGTAGTTTTGTTTATCATTGATATGTATCCAAATTCATTTAGTATATTCAAGTACTCCGTTTTATAGTAATTATTTTCTAAAATGTTTATATTTATATCTCCAAGAAAAATGCTGTATGCGTATTTTTTTTGACTCATTTTCTTCAAAGTACTCTGTAAAATTTGTAGGAAATCATCAGCGTTAGTTAGATGATGGTGATCGATAACAAGCAGTTAGTTATTATAGAATGTTTGAATGAGATAATATTGTTTATATACATTATTGTCCCATCATTTTGATTGTGTTACCCTTGATTGTATAATAAATTATATCCAGGCATATTGTAAAAGTTTGGGTCTGTTAAGTATCAGGTTCCATTTCAGTTAACACTAAACAATCAAAATCAAACTTTTTTTAATTTATCAAAATTTTTACGTAGACTCCGTATATTGTTATGGAAAATCGTGAAATTATGATTTATCTTATTCACTTCTAAAACTGTATTACATTCATATAAAAGTATTAATAGTATCTATCTCAAAGTCGCGCAAATATTAATCCATTTTTACTTTTTAAAATACACAAAAATATGATGTGATTTTATAATAACTGACACCATAAAAATATATTTACAATAGCAACTAAAATCAATACAATTTGGCCCAAAGAAATTTAAAAATAGTATGTGGGCTTCGTAAAAATTATTTAGAGTTTTATATTTTTCTCTTAGAACTTGTCCACTACAGAAGATTTGTTGGGTGGTTTACCAACCTTGATTCTCTTGGCTTCTCGTCTTTCTTATCACAAGGCTCTATAGATTTCTGCAATAATATATTTTTATATTTCTGTGAGTGTTGGCTGAGTGATTGTCAATTCTTTATCAGGCTTTAAATTAGCAATAGGGGTTGATGGAGCACTATTTGATTTTTCTTCTTACTTGCTATAATCGTTTTCTTTTAAATCTTCCACTGTATATTGTTAGAAAACGAAGGGGGTATAAATGTTAATTAAAATTCAAAATCCAAATATGAGTAAACACCACTATTATCGTATGAATATTGAATACAAAAACACAAGTAATGACGTAGTGAGTGGCCAGTTATTCTGCGCAGAGAGATCGACCACGTTGATTGTACTTTTCAGAATGCCCCTGTGAAGGCTGTGAAACACCAACATGATGCCGACGAAAAAGGTCGGGGTATTTACGCATCGTCATCAATACGTGCTTATCTCCCTGACCAGAGGCGACTAGGTAAAATTGCTAACAATATAAGGTTTGTTCGGGTTTCCTTAAAACTCGATGCAAACCGTCCGAGAACTAGTGGAACAGTTCATTTCTAAAGTATACGTCGCACACAACTATTAAACTGTCCACTGGTCAACTAGTTCTCTGATAGTTTTCAATGTATTTTAAAGAACCCGAACAGACCTAATGTGTTTGATTCCAACGTGCAGTTTGGTTCTTTTATATAGCTCTTTTCGGTTGTTGTACTTCTGCAGTGATTTAAACTTTCACGTAAAATTTTATTTTCTTCCCTTTGTTTTTGAGTTAGATCGTGAGTTATTACAATTCCAGTGTTTTTTAATTTTGTACAGTTCTTCAATATGTTTCTCTTTTTCACCACTGCCAATAGTTCAACCTTCAACGGAGTTTCGTTGTAGTTAGCCAAGGAATATAAGTCACTTACGTCTTCCTCTCTTATTGAAATACCTAGTTTATCTTTCATTAGTTAACAGAAGTACGAAATAGTCCTTTCACTATTGGTCGTATTCAAACCAAATAAAATTAGATTTTTCTTTTTACTGTTTTGCTCCAGGGTTCCTATTTTATCTTTAAGAAATTCGTTTTCTTTCTCTACTTCGCTGATTCGATTTTTCAGTGTTTCGATTTTCAGCAAAATTCGTTTTTCACAAGCTTCAACGAAGCTTTTTATTTCATTTTTACTTTTTTGAATCTCTTATAAAATATTTTGTAGAAAATTCCACACCTGTAATTTTGAACCAATCAAAATACGTGTTTTTGACAGATCACCATGGCAACGGAGGTATTTTAGTGGAAATTTTTTTCTCGTGGGGTACCCAACAGCGAATTATACTGGAAATTTTTTGACGTTTACAATAACAGACCATTTTTGACAGACTGATTTTTATTTGTTCACATAATAGGTTTAGTTTTGATACATTTTAGTTACAATGCTAAGGTGTTTTCTATATTCTTCGGCCACTTCTTTTCTTCTTAATGGCGAAAATGCAGGACTTTGGATGATTTGAATTATGTGTCTATGTCTAATAAAATATATATAATATTTAGACGCTAATTTATTCACCTTTTTCCCATTCAGCACTTTGAATTTTGCGTAGTTTAGGTGCAAATATTCGTGGACAATTCGGAACAAATTTTCGTTTTTCAAGTTGGAGCCACAATCCTCTATTAATCCGAGTAAGTAAGTCATGGTGCAATGATTATTGATCATTACATCAGACAATTTCACGCATATTTTGCATAGCGTATGATTTTCAAATCGATTCATTTTTAAACAAATAGGTAATTTTGTTGGTTTTACTTGCTATGCAATATTCTTTATCGCAACAAAACGCGAGTTATTAAATGTTTTGAACTGTCAAAATACAATGATCACAGCCTCCTACGATTGATGCTTGCTGACGCTGGTTATGAATTTCATACCATTTTAAAGCGCTCATAACGCATGTTAATAAAAACGCAGAAAAACAATTTTCTACCACTTGTAGTTATTCAAAACTTACGTAAAATTAAAGAATATACTATTTTCTATTTTCAAATGGTATTCCCATGCAACTACAATGAGTAGAAATAAGCAATTTGAAGGCCTAAATAATTGCAGCGAAACATTTTTTTACGTCGGGCCGCTTGACAACTTCAAAACTGAAATTATATTCGAGGTTAGGGTCTCACTTAGTTACCATGGCAACTCAACAATCAAGGCGACAACACCTTTTATGTTTCACTGGTGACTTGGAGAAAATAATTTGCATTGTTGAGAAACGAAAAATAAATTTTAAAAATATTTAATTTTCAACCATAATTCGGCGTGGAATTTTCTTACCGAATACCACGCGGGGTCAAATTAATATCAGGAAATTTTTTGACCTCTAGTGGTATTACTAGTGAAAATCATTTTCAATTCCCATTTTTGTTAATTATTTATTTGCCCATAGACTATAATTATTATTAATAATATTGTTGAAAACTAAAGGTTTTTCAGATCATACACAGTTCTTACAAAGATAAAAAATATCTCATTTTCTGTAACTTGCACTTTAAATTTAAAGTAAACTTTTACTATTTTGTAGGAGCGAATTCGAAACACATGCACACTGATAGCTAGTCGATACTTGAATACAAATACAAAATACATTTTATATAATACCTTCAGAGATAATTATTTTACTTTGTTTGCAACTTTTTTGGTACAAAGGATCCAGAAATATTTTTTGTGGATTGCTCCATATTAACAAAAAGGATTGGCTTACATACTTTTTTTAAATCTTTTTGATGATTTATAAGAGAAAATGGCATGCAAGAATGGAATATTTCAGATAGGAAAAATACTTGCCCTGTTGATGCACTTATTCGTAATCTATGACTTATCACCCTGTATAGTGACTCAAATTTTGAACTTCGACGGTTTTACTGAATATCTGTAATAGTTTAAATTTAAATCATCTTTATTTATAAAACTTTCATATACAATTTCAGTTTGCAATTGTGGAGTAATTTCGAAAATGGCGTCCGTCCACCAAGGAGCCTTTGCAGCCAAGAAAATGAGAGAACGCGAAGAGAAAATTAAAGGTGACGAAGTCAAAACATAATTGCCATAACGGTATTTTGTATTCATTTCGCTATTTTGATTTTTAGCAAGTTTAAATCCGATGCAATACAACACCAAATTTATGGATAGCATTTGGGGTCAATACAATAGGTATTCGGTTCACAATTTGAAGAAAATCATGAACGAGAGGGTTGGAGAGTACCTCGTTTCGCCAGCTGAGTAAGTACCACTCGTCCTAGTACTGGTTGTAATAAAATTAATTACATATTTTCGAAAATACTAAAAAAAATAATAAATGAACCAAATAAAAACAATCTCAATAAAACATTTTTTTTACATTTAAAAGTATAAGGTAGTAGTTAGAAGTATAAGGAAAAATAACACACTGTTCCTCTAATATTAATAATAGTTATTTTATTATACGGGAGATAACACAACCTCGAGCTAAAATCTAATATTTTTCCCGTGTATAATACACTATTTAATTTTGTGACGATTTAATATTGAAAAAAATATTCTAAAATATCTACCTTTACTTATGTGTATAGATATATATTCGGGAAAAAAGTACTCACTTTTTCCCGGGAAAAATTTCAAAAAAAGTGACATTTTGTTACCTCACAAGAGAGATAAAATGTCAAACTTTTTTCTCAGAGAATATATGATTTTTATGAGCTGGTAATTTTTGCTGGACATTGGGAATTTTGTTATAATAATTTGAAATCTGATAAAAGGAATTTTGAAATTGAAATGTTTTATGTTTAGAGAGATATATGAGATCCTTTCTACATAATATATTTCACACATGTGTTGTAAATGTCGACACTAAATTTAATTTTAACTAATACATGTGAATTGAGTTTAGATACTTACTAAAGTATGAATTTAAATATTTTCAAACGAATTCAAGTGTAACATTATCGATTAATTACAATAATTATTATTACTTTTTAGGAAAATTATTGCCATCCCCAAAAAGGGTGAAAAGATTTTCTCAGCTGACGTTGGATCTGCCAGTCCGTTTGCGTTGAAGCGTATTTACAACTGACTGGTTTAGAAAGACTGCTTACTTTAAACAATGATTTTAATATTTTTCGAAATTTGTTTTTATAATTATACGTTAACATTTTAAATAAAGAAATAATTCAAAGCAATAATAATTCATTTTCCGCCCAATTTTATTTTGTTAACAACATTTTTCCGTCGATATTTTTTTTAACGATATTTTTTATCGTCAACTTTTTTTCATCATTTTTTTCATCGACATTTTTATGACATTAATTTTTGCGTTGGTTATACAGGGTGTTTCATAATATATGCGCAGGACTTCAGGACGTGATAGCTCGTCCAAAAATATGAAAAAACGTTTCTATTAACTTACCCTCTAAAATGCACCATTTTCGAGATACAGGGTGTTGAAATTGAAAAAAAAATTTCTACGCCATTGGAAAAAGTACGGTTTTGAGACGCCCATTTGAACCGCCAATGTTTTCTACACAAAAAAAGTACTCTTGGTCATACGCTCTAAAGTCGACCGTTTTCGAGAAAAATCAAATTTTAATGTTGGTCAATTTTTTTTTCTTACTAATGACACAACATTTTTAAACGTTAGAACAAGTAACAAAAGCAAACGTTAACTTCATAATTGCAAAATTAAAAAAAAAAACAATAAATCATAAACAGTTAAATTAAATGTTCGAAATGTCCGCCGTTAGCTTCAATGCACGCAGCAATTCTTCGACGCATTGACTGTCTAACACGCAGGATAATTCCCGGAGTGTTCCGAATTATGTCGCAAGATGCAACAATGCGCTCTCTTAATTGGTCAACATTTTCAACTGGAGTAGCGTAGACTAGGGTTTTGAGATGGCCCCAAAAGAAAAAATCTAAACAATTAAGGTCGGAAGATCGCGGGGGCCAAGGGTGTGGACCTCCTCGACCGATCCAACGGTCTTGGTATTCGTCGTCCATGTATTGGCGAGCAAGTAAACTAAAGTGGGCCGGAGCTCCATCATGCATAAAGTACATGTTTTGCCTTACGTGAAGCGGTACATTTTCCAGCAGCTCCGGCATTACTTCTTCTAGAAATTGTCGATAATCTGCACCGTCTAATCTGTTTGGCAAAAAATATGGGCCTATCAAATTGTCACCGACGATGCCAGCCCAAACATTCACGGAAAATTGTTGCTGATGACGGCGTTCTGCAATTTCATGTGGATTTTCTTCAGCCCATATGTGGTTATTGTGAAAATTAAAAATACCATCTCTCGAGAAAGATGCTTCATCGGTAAACAGAACTTCGGCTCCAAACCGAGGATTTTGAGCTATTTTGTCTTGCATCCATCTACAAAAAGCCAATTCTGGCGGAAAATCTCTTGGCAATAAGGCTTGTACTCTTTGGACATGATAGGGATACAGAAGTTGTCTTTTCAAAATTCTCCACACCGTCGACTGAGATAAGTTTAAGTTGTGAGCTATTTGTCTGGTACTTGTGGTCGGATTTTCTTCAATTTCGTTGAGAACAGCCTCTTCTTGGGGAATTGCAACTTCCATAGGCCGCCCACTATCAGCAGTATTCTTTTTAAAACTTCAATTTTCCCATAGTCGTTGGTAAATGCGTTGAAACAAGTTATGGTGTGGTACTTGGCGAGCAGGATGTCTTTCTTGATACAACCGCCTTGCTTCTGTCGTATTACCTTCCGCCGTTCCGTAAAAGTAATGCATTTCGCATATTTCAGCGTTTGTGTAACTCATTTTGAATTTTATAATACAAATTTATCTTTTGCATGCACAAACTAATTGTTATTTTGTGCTTTTGTTTTGAAATTTAAAACCTACTTGATGAAACAAAATTTGATTTTTCTCGAAAACGGTCGACTTTAGAGCGTATGGCCTAGAGTACCTTTTTTATGTAGAAAATATTGGCGGTTCAAATGGGCGTCTCAAAACCGTACTTTTTCCAGTGAAGTAGAAATTTTTTTTCAATTTCAACACCCTGTATCTCGAAAATGGTGCATAAGTTAATAGAAACGTTTTTTTCATATTTTTGGACGTCCTGAAGTCCTGCGCATATATTATGAAACACCCTGTATAACTAGATTGAAAAACTGGGTTGTAAAACTAGTTGTAGTTGTAAAATTAGGTTGTAATGTTGTAAAACAAGGTTGTAAAACAAGGTTGTAAAACAAGGTTGTAAAACAAGGTTGTAAAACAAGGTTGTATAACAAGGTTTTGAACCAAGTTTGTAAAACAAGGTTTTAAAATAAGATTGTAAAACAAGGTTGTAAAATATGGCTGTAAAACAAGATTTTAAAATATGGTTGTGTAAAACAAGGTTGTAAAATATTAAAGAGGGAGATTTCAACACAAAAATGGCCAACTTTTTTTATCCACATTTTTGCCGTCAACATTTTTTTCTTCAACATTTTTTAATCGACATTTTTAAGACATTATTTTCTATATGTTGGTTGTAAAACTAGGTTGATAAACGGAATTGTAAAATTAGGTTGTAAAATTAGGTTATAAAATTAGGTTGTAAAATTAGGCTGTAAAATTAGGTTGTAAAATTGGTAGTAAAACTAAAAATTTTCTCATAAAAAATTTAAAAAAAAATATGGCATGGTGAAATGATATTTTCGAAATAAAATTTTTAAGAAGGGGATTCCAACAGAAAAATGGTAATTATGGCAGTATTCTAAATCATTTTCTAGCTCTATTTTTTACATTTTGTTTATCAACTTCTTTCAAAAACATTTTTAACATTTTTTTGATATTTATAGACATATTACACCACGAAGAAAACCGACAATTCCGAAGCAGAAACGGATGATTAAAATGCACCTATTAAAAATATTGCGCCAAGATGTAGGCAACACGTAATAAGGGATCAAAATAGAGTTTTCTATCTTCTTTTAAAAGGCACTCAGAAACCTGCGCAGTGCGACCATTCTCCGTATAGTAAAAGAAAATCAAAGTATGTGATCTTATCTTACTATACGGAGAATGGTCGCACTGCGCAGCTTTCTGAGTGCCTTTTAAAAAGAAGATAGAAAACTTCGCCATTTTGATGCCTTATTACGTGTTGCCTACATCTTGGCGCAATATATTTAATATTTTGCTTGCTGCTGTCAGTGAATATTATTTTTGGAGTCACAGTTTATTGCTAAAGAATCAGTTAGCTCACTCGGACCAGTTGAATGTTCCAAAATAACATCTACTCCAGGGATACAAATTCAGGATGCGCAGTAGACTGCTGTTTTATTATAGGCAGTTGTCATATATTGTATTATCCGAGTTGCGCAGTGTATAAACTGGAACATTGAGATCAAAAGTGCCGACGCAGAATGAGTGAACTGATTCTTTAGCTATAAACTGTGCTTATGAAGACTGGTAAAATGGCCGCGCCCTATGTTGGGCGTGTCGGACCTCTCTCTTACACCGTATAGTAATCAAAGTACTTATGTGCATTTAGTTATCAAAATTTACATGTATCTGTTGAAATCGACATGATTTATCAAAATTGAGACACTGGATGTCGGTAAAACAGGGATTTAACAGATCGAATCTAAGTTTTGTATATAAAATGGTAAACAGGAAAGTGCCAAAATATTTGTGGAACTTGTTGTCTACCACCCAATAAACACAGTTAATCGGCACCGTAACTGGGCCGAAGGAAGCTTGCCGGATGCAGAACTCGGCCCGATATACGCTTGCAGCTTCGGCATATAGGTAGGGCATGTCCGTCCAGCCGAATGTCGACAGCCCACTACATTGTAGCCGCGTTCATATATCTATATATAGTTCGGCCTGTAAGGATGCTTCCCATGTCTACAAAGCCAAATATGGACCATATGCCGTTTCTACTTCTACATTATGTCAAATGGTACGGTACTCCCGGATCAGATGCAACCCCGAAAATGTCAATCCGAGTACTCGGCTTCCCGTACATGCCAGTGTCAGGCCGAGCGAATGCCGACTATTTGTGTTTTACTGGGCAGGTTCGACATGCACGGGCGAATCTTACGATCTGGATCAAATCTGTATATAGATTATACGGCGAAAGCATTTTCGGAAGGATCTGCATTTTCTGAAGGGATTCGACTTTTTAATGCCTTGCATATAAGAGAAAGTGTTTCAGTATCTACTTTCTATAAAAAAAATCTGTTTGTACTTGAAATATAATCAATTAACTTAATTTTTCTAAACTGTAATAATTGTATATATGTATTTATTAGCTTAAGCTAAATATTTTTCCTACGACCACTTAGGAAAGTGACACATATCACACTATATAGACCTATGGAAAGTGCCCTATATCACACGCGTATGAATAAGAATTTACTTTCCACCCAAGTGAGAATATGCTACTTTCCGCAGTAGCTGTCAGAAAATGTCAAACACATAATTTCTATTTTGATCTATGTAATGTCCATATTAATACTAAAATCGATATGATTGTTAAATTATTGTAAATTAGATCCTAGATATTTATCTTTAACAATTATTTTTAAAATAATTTTAAAATAACTAAGATATATTTGCTTTTTATTCTGGTTAAACACATAAGCGATTAGATCAATCAATTACCGTAAGGCCTGTTAGCTCAGTTGGTTAGAGCATCAACTTTGCAATTTGAGACCGTCCAACGACCGCGATCGAATCCTGGCTGTGCCAGAATTTTTTTTTTATTTTTTTTTATTTGTTTAGAAATTATGAAAATTTAATAAATACGATTATTGTTGATTATTTTTTTAAATACATTTTAATTATTATAATAATCTGGTTTTACATTTTTTGATGAAATTATTTTGTGGTCGTAGGAAAAATATTGTACATCACTTGTGTGAAAAGTGATTTTCCACACTCGTGTGATAGTCGCACTCGGCTTACGCCTCGTGCGACAATATTTCCCACTCGTGTGAAAAATGTCACTTTCCACACTCGTAATGTAATATACCATATTTAACTGTCAAAATTGTGATGTATCCTTAGATAAATGAAACAACAGATGATGCATTTCATTCATAAAGTATGTTTTGTTTGGTCCCA